CGCTAAACCAAAGATTATGTAATCTTCCATCTATTGACTGCTTCTTTTGGATGGTGGCCATTCTTTAGTGCACTGGTACAGAATACTTTGCCATGAAAAGCTGTGCTTGATTTTTCAACCTGATCATATTTTTCATCTTAGCATAATAAGGCTGCTGTGCCTTTATCTTTCAATGGAAAAATACATTGTTTCCACCTCAGTGGCCAAAAAGGAAATCATTTTCAGTTAAGTGCCAACTAGCTTGTTTTGTTAAAATTCACTTATCAAGTAATCTGAAAATGTCAATTTTGCAATATTGTTCTTTTAGCAAATAAATTACAAATTCTCATTTGAACCTAAATATGATATAATGAACCTAAAATAGGATATAATAATTCTACATTTGTAGGCACAAAATAATGTAGCATCTAAACATAAACTTTTTTTTCTAAGTAACTTAATTGTGTCCCATAACAATGCTCAGGAATACAGAAAATCCAATTTCCAACAAGGTAAAATTCACAATGCCTAGCATCAATCAAAAATTAACAAATATGCAAACAATGCATGCAATGGAAAATACAACCCATAATTTAAAAAGTCAAAAAATAGAAACAGACCAAAAAATAACACAGATATAGAATTAGTAGAGAAGGACTTTGTAACAGCTATTTTAATTATACTTGCTATGAACAAAATAGTAGAGGAAAGCCTGAGCATGATAGGAAACATGCAAGATGTAAAAAAAAGACCCAAATAAACCTACTAGAGATGAAATACAGAAGGTCTGATATAAGAAATACTGTAATGGAACTAAGAGATTAGAAGCAACAGAAGACAATATTAGTGAACTTGAAGACAAAGCAATGAAAACTATCCAAAATAAAACACAGAGAAAAAAACTGAAAAAGAAATGAGCAAAGCATTAATAAGCTGTGTGTCTACTTCAAGCAGATTAATGCAAGTGTGATAGGAATTGAAAAAATATTTGAAGAAATAATGGTTATGTTTCCAAATTTGATAAAAATTATAAACAGATCCAAGGAAGCTCAGCTAACTGCATGACCAGAATTGGTTGCTTTAGAGTTTAAAATATGCATTTTTATGCTTAGTCTACTTTCAAGTAATATAACAACATATCACAAAGAACAATGAACTTTCCAATAGAACACTTAAAATACGGGTAGTGCCATTGAGAAGCTAAACTTTTGATTGTGGTAATAGAGATCTCTGTAAATATACTAGAAAATCACATTTTCATTGCCCCAAGAAACTCTGTACCCAGTTACTCTCCATTTCCCTCCAACTCTCCCTAGTCCTAGGCAATCACTAATCTATTTCTGTTTCTAGATATTTGCCTATTCTGAACCTTTTTTTCTAAATGGAATCATACAATATTTGCTATTTTGTGACTGGGTTCTTCACTCAGCATAATGTTCATCCATGTAGCATATATCAATATTTCATTCCTTCTTATTACTGGGCAATTCCATTGTATGGGCATAACACATTTTATTTATCCATTCATTGGGTGATGGACATTTGGGTTGTTTCCACATTTTTGCTACCATCGATTGATAACTTTATCAAATCAACTTCTTTATATTGGGCAATATCCTTCACTCTGAAATGTACCTTGCCATTAAAATGGCCACTCCAGGGCCAGCCCGGTGGCGCACTGGAGAGTGCGCCGCTTGGGAGCGCGGCAGCGCTCCCGCCAAGGGTTCGGATCCCATGTGGAGACCAGTTCCCGCTCACTGGCTGAGCGCGGTGCGGGCGCAACACCGAGGGTTGCGATCCCGTTGCCGGTCAGTAAAAAGGACAAAAAGAAAAAAAAAAATGGCTACTCCAACTTACTTCATGTTAGCATGGAGTATCTTTTTTCCATCCTCTTTCTTTTAACCAATTTGCTTCTTTATAAAACGGTTTCTTGTAGGCAATATATGAGTCTTGGTTTTTTATTTGATCAGATGATCTCTGTATTTTAAAAGGAGTGGTTAAATCATTAACAATTACTGTGATTATTGATGTAAGTGAATTTAGATCTACAATCTTGCTATTTGTTTCTTGGCCTAGTTTTGGATTAACTATGTATTTTTTTTTCCTTTTTGTCTTTTTTACTGACTGGTAACGGGATCGCAACCCTCGGTGTCGCGCCCGCACCGGGGACCGGCAACGGGATCGCAACCCTCAGTGTTGTGCCCGCACCACGCTCAGCCAGTGAGCGGGAACCGGTCTCCACATGGGATCCGAACCCTCGGCGGGAGCGCCGCCGCACTCCCAAGCGACGCACTCTCCAGTGCGCCACTGGGCCGGCCCGGTATTTTTAATAATTCTATTTTATCTTATCCTTTGTTGGTTTTAGAAAGTAGATGGCATTTTAACCAATGATGAAATCTGCTTCTAGCTCCCTGTGTACTTCTATATACAATCACAAATGAGAAGCAATGAAATAGACACATTTATATAAATGCAAGTGTAAAATAGTATTTATTATTTTCAATATAGTGCTGTAACATTTCATAATATTGCATACTGCTCAAATGTTGGTTTATTTAGTTAGGTAAGAATATCCTCCCCTCATTTCACTCCACAATCAGAATTTAAGGACACACAACCCTTTACAGCCCTATTATACTGGCTCCTAAAATGTCACATTGCATAAAACAATAATGCTATGAACTAAAATCAATAAAGGTTAACAACAATTCGGTATCACAGTTTCACAATTAAGAAGCCAGCAGATTGCTGAATTTAGAACAGCAACAAAAATCCGCTAAGACTTTTTTTTATATGTACTTGCTCCATAATGCTCCTTCTTAAGAGAAGAATATAAAGGCAAAGGTAATAAATGCTGCTTTTAGTCCTTTATCCAATAAATCAACCTTTAACTGCAAATAGGTTTTACAGATAGCAAATGATATGTTATTTCTGTGCCAGCAGATTTTATTTTATTTTTTTCATGTTCTGGTGCTACCAGCAAGTGAACAAATGACACTAAAAATTAAAACAACTTTCAAAATAAAACTTATAGTAAAAAATCAGACCAATGAGTCAAGTACTTATAAACATAAAACAAGCAAGCATAATTGCATAGATTAACTAGTAGAAATTCAAATTCAGACAAAATAAAACACCAAATTTAATTAATGAAAAGAACTCTTTCAAGTATTTTCTTAATATTTGCATTAATGTTGCATTCATTCCCCTTTATAACATATTTTACCTTAATTTTTTTGGCACAGTTTCTCTTGGATTTAAATATAATAAATCTTAGAAAAGCAAGTTAAAAAAAGAATTTTTTTCTACAGGGACCAGTAAAAATTAATGAAAAAACACTGTGGAGCATTTTAAACAGTACACTTGAAAAGAGCAGAGATATTTTTAAATATTCTAATAACAAAGTATTTGTTAGTCTTGATCCAATAAACTCATCACCAGGCCAAGAGCTGGTCCCAACTACTATATAGTGTGCCCTTTGCATTCAAATCTAATCAAATTACTCAAGTAACATATCCAAGAAATTAAATATAATTTGTATTTAAATGATTAAAGTATGGCCATATTCTGTACTTAGATATATTAAATTTGTTTTACTGGCAAAAATTTAAAAATTTCTCTTCACAGGTCATTCTATGTGTGTGTACATGTGCAAACACACATATTATTTTTCCTTCTACAAAGAACTATTTTGTTTGAAAGATCTGGCTTAAGATTTATTACAGTGACTATGGGGTCGTCAAAATAAAAGCAGGCACAGCTGGTTAGTTTATGAATTATGCTGCATTATCAAGTTCAATTGATTAGAAAGAGTAGAATAGAATACCCTGTGTCACCTGATACTTAGAACCATCTGCACCACAAAAAAGTGTTTATCTGGTAAATCCATCATCAATTTGGTAATCTTTAATACAGCTACCCTGTTTTTCGAATATGCATAATGCAAAGGAAAAACTTTATACTCAATCATGTGACTTCTTCAATAAAAACGACACAGAGACAATCCTGTACTTAACAATATAAAAAAGGATTGGCAGATGCAGTCAGCATTATGGACACCATTAAACCTGTACTGTATAGCTGTAGGTTTTAAGTGTCTTGCCAAAAGCTTAGTTTCATGATACGCAATTTGCAAAGTAAAATCATACTATTTAAAAGTATTCCTGTATACATTTTCCTCTTGTAACATGCCTCTGACTTCCAGCAGAAACATTATAAATGCTATCATAAATGAAATCTTTCTTTACAGAATAGACTATGAATCATATCAAAATTGCTTTTAGTTCCCATCTTAAAAATGCTGTAGACTACGTTTCAAATAAGTACTCTAGGTATGTAATTGGAAATGTAAATAGCCTGAATATAACTACAAATTAAAAGACTGAGTTCAATAGTACTGTATTTTAGAAAATCCTACCAAGCATAGTACTGTGGGAGTAACACAGACACAAATATATATGAATCTATAAATAAATGTATATATAATTTTTCTATTGAAAACTTTCTTTTTAAGTTTCATAGTTTGAAGGTTTTTGCTGTTAATTCACAAAACACATACATTACATTGTCCAATCTGATACAAATGTAATCTAATACATGGTTCATAACAAGCAGCAGTACGACCCTCTAAGTATTACCAAAAGAAAGAAATTCTTAATATAGATTTGAACCATATTAAAGACTCAGCAATTTTCATTAATATCATCATTTAGTGTCCAAACATTAAATGCATTTAATAAAATATAATGCATAACAAGATGATTTCTTCAGGATAATTTTGTCATTCAAGAAAGTTCATTACCACATGGAGAATGAAACTTTTCAATTACTGCTCTAAAAATCAGAGAAATAATTACAGTATTATTTTAGATATGCAGCACTTCTTTAGATTCATGATGGCATCTCTGTTATGATGCTCTTTAAAATAAAGAGTGAAAAAATAATAAAACACTATTTCAAAAAAGGTAGCATATCTGGCTGAAATACAAAATATACAACAGCATTTATACGTTAAAAACACAAATATTTAAATGTTTTGTAAAATAATCTTTTTAATGTGTTCAACATGAAGAACAGCTTCTCTCTTCACAATTGTCACATTTTAACTGATTATCAGTACAACAGCTCTTCTATGTTTTATAAATAATTTTACGGGTTTTCTGTTGCAATTTTTTTTTTTTTTTTTACAAAGTATAACCTACAGCACAGTGATTTATAATTTAAGGTAATAAATATTTTCACATTCTAATGTAGCTTTTCCACTTATTTCATGCTTCTGAAGCTTTTTTGTTTTTATTTTTGCTTCAAAGTAGAGGTAGATTTAGTAGAGATTGGGCATGTCTGATTTACTGCCAAAGTACAATTATCAATAGCTGTACTGCTAATGTGCAGTTCCCAAGAATGCTTGAAAAAATTCAGAATCATTATGTAATACTTTACCAAAGTTCTTCATTTCAAGCTTAAGTTATTAAATAATTGCATAATTGTTCATAAACAGATACAAAAATCCAAATAACAAAAGACATAAATACAGGCACATCAAAACAAACAAACAAACAAACAAACAAACAAGTGAACAAACTACAATGAAAGATTGCACCTGAATGGAAATATTTGTTTTTGTTTTGCTTTTAAAAAGTGCATCAAATTCTTTCTTTTCTATTCTATGCAAAAAACATCAAACATTGACACTGGCAACAAAAAGGAAATATGTAAAGCTACCCTTTTTAGCCATTAATTTTTTACTTCCACCAAGTTAAAGCTGAAACCCTTCCATTGGTGCTTCCTGCTGCTGAAATACAAACTGTTGTTGGTTTTCATCCACCTGAGGTACAATGCTGGGGTCATCTTCTTCTACACCAAAGTAATGTTCAATCAGATCAAAAGCCTTCTGGTAAATTTCCTGATTTTCATGGCTTTGCAGAAACTCAATTTTATCCAGACCTATTATGTAAAGCATATATATAAAAACAAGTTACTAAAAGTTTCAGTATATATTTAAATCAAAATATAAATAGACAGTATCCATCACTCCACTGGTAATGGGACTGCTATTTCTGTCTAATTTTTGCACATATCAATAGCCAACATTTATGCCTTATTCTTCAAAAATGGGAGTATGGGCAGTGTGATATTAAGAAGAACCACAGGCCTCAGAGTAAGAAGATCACAGACACCACCCTGCTAGCTGGGTGATCTTGGCCAAGTAAGTTCAATTCCTCTGAACTTTAGTTTCTCAATTGAAAAATGAGTTTTAGATTAAGTAACTCCACAAGACCTTTCCAGAGAAATTATGCTAAATAACGAAAGACAAAAAGGGAAAGCAACAGAACAAATTAAATGAACAAACCAAACCACGATGAGCCAGAGGTTATCATTATAGCATAAATCTATACTATTTGCAAATCCATGACTCTTTTTCACAACAAAACACCACATATAGCTACTATGTGATTTACCAAAAGTACAATCTATAAATGAAACTGAAAAACATCAATTAGAAAGGATGAGGAGAATCTATAGCACTCTGTTTTACTGCTTACAAGAAAAAATTCTACACATAACTATTGGTAATGCTGAAAATATTTTTCATTTTATTACAGACAAACCACTTCAACTGGATTATTGTAGAATAACAAAGAATAAGCAAAGTAGTCATATCTCCATACCATCATAGAATATCTCAAGCCCTTGTATAACTTGTGGCCAAAATAATGACTGTAGTAAGGAAATACTCTTAAATCAGTGATTAACATCCTGTATTTATATAATGTCTTAACCAGTGACATTATGTAATTTGATATAAAGTCAAAGTGATATCCCAAGCTTTAAGAATCATAAATAAAAGCTTGAATCAGTCATACGATATGAGGACTTAATGCAGAAAAGTGAATATTTAATGCAATAAATTAAAATCAGTTTAGATTAATGCTTTATCCTAAAATAAACTCCATATGAGTTAAAGTTAAATTTTAAAAATCCAATCAGAAAAATGCGGCCATTAAAAAAAAAATTTCTTCAAATATCTGTGGGGGCAATGAATCTGTAAACTTTGAAGAAATAGAAGATTAGACTGAGTCACTTATTCAATATAAATAGACATGGTTTGTTTCATTAAAATAAAAAAAGACTGGGAAAAAAGCCATATCGAAATAAACTATATTCCAGGAGAGCTTTCAGAAAAAAAAAAAAAAAAAAAAAAAAAATTATAAAATAAAAAAAAAAAAAAGGGGAAAAAAGCCATATCAAAAAAAAATATATTCCAGGAGAGCTTTCAAAAAAAAAAAAAAAAAAAAAAAACAATTATAAAATAAAATTAATTCAAATTTTTACATAGAAAACTCAGTTAGGTAACTGGACAAAGTACAATAAATATGCAATTAGAATGAGTAAATACACTAATGCATGGAAAATACATACCACTCCCTGTATTAAATAAACCAAGAAATGCACATAAAAGACACTTTACATCTGCTAAATCAGCAAAATCAACAAAACAAGTAGAGTACATTCACACAATGCTAGTGACACTGTCAAGTAACAGGCCTTTTTGGAAAGCAAAATGAGAAAATATATCAAAAGCTTAAAAAGAAGTTTGTGCTTAAGACTCAGCAACTGCATTCCAAAACATTATCCCAAGATATTAATTCAACAGAAGCAGCAAATTTATACGCAGAAAGATGCTTATTTTGGCACATATAACACAGTAAACAGAAACAAACTTGTTGAGAGCCATCCTGCTATAGGGAACGGCATGAGAGCCTGATGAGCGACACCCCTTGTTCAGTAGGCTGCAAGGGGGTCCTGTGTGTGTGGCACGGCTCCATGGAATTTCCTGTTTGTTCACCTTTGGTTACTTGACAAGGCTTCCCAGAATTAAAAGGCCTAACTTTTTGGGTTAGTATGGCTTTGGGAGATTCCGAGAGCCCTGGAGTTTCTCAAAGAACATTTTAATAATATATCAAAATTAACTGGTTTATTTAAAAGGCATTGTCAGTACTAGAGGTGTTTTTTTTGTTGTTGTTTGTTTGTTTGTTTTTTGTCCTTTTTGAGACTGGCTGCTGGCCATCCCTATATAGGATCCGAACCTGCGGCGGGAACGCTGCTGCGCTCCCAGCACCGCACTCTCCCGAGTGCACCACGGGCTCGGCCCCTAGAGGTGTTTTTGATGTATGTTCCTGGTATGGGTTGGCTTGATTTAATTTTGTTGTTGATCTGTCCTGTTAGTGGTGTGCATTGACCCATAATTTTAGAATAACTGGCTCTATAGTTGTAATCATACTTTTGTGTGTATGTAATGAAGTTATTGTGTTAAATTTTTATAAATCCACATCTCCTAGGGAAATGGTGGGTCCGAGTGCAGTGGTGTTTACAACTAATTGATCACAACCAGTTACATATTTCTTTGTTCCTTCTCCACTCCATCTCTGCTTCACTTGACTCACCAAGTACATATCATTCCGGGATTGGAATGACGCAGTACCTGAGAAGGGTCATTTAATTTTTCACTTTGTTCCTTGTACTGTTCCCAGAGTCAATTGACAAGAAAACAGAAAAATTTTGTTATAGAAATGGATAGGTAAAATAGTAGAGATACATTAAAAGGTTTTGATATTAATAGATTTTGTTTAGATTAGTTTAAAGTATAATTGTCTTTAATAGTAGCATAAAATATAATAGAACATTATAGTTAAGTTTCATTATAAAAAATCATGTTATAGACATTGTGATTTTGGTTAAAAATTAGAATGATTAATATAAAACATAAAGTATTAAATTGTTAAATATAAGTATAAGTAAGACTTAATAGGAGTTTAGAATATAAGTTATGTGTAAGTTTCAAAAGTTAAGAATTGTGATTCAGACCAAAAGTCTGATGTTTTGAAATTAAACATGCTGCTATTGTATAGTTTCTTGGCAGTAGTAATGAACTTTTGAGGTAAACTTTTGATGTATGAATAGATGTTTTTGTCAAAACATGAGCAGTTTGGAACATTTTTGTTCTTGTGAAAGCATGGATGGTTTAGAACATTTCAACCTTTCTTTTCTATGGATATGATATAAGAAATGTTTTTAATTAAAAGATAAATCATTACATAGAAGGTTAAATAAAAAATATAAATAAAGCAAGATGTGGTTAGTGTCCACACTTGCACTAGACATTTGTGGTCCATCTCTTTCTTTCGCCGACACCACACCACCTATTCAGGTCCAACGAATCCTGCAGAGCTGGTCTCCGACACAAACTAAAGGTCAACTACACGTGTACAGCTAAAATTGCACTCAGTAAGGCTAAAACTACACTCAACATTCACTCAATATAATATTATGTGGTTAAAATAATCATAAAAATTACATAGAAATGTAAAATTCCTCCAGAATGTTAAAAAGTAGAACACAAAACTACACATACACTACAATTAAATCAATGTAAAGTATTTGTGCATAAGCACAATATAAAAAGAAAGGTAAGTAATAAAAATAAAGGTTTCGGGCAATACAATTATTGGTTACTTATTTTAAAACATTTTAAAAATATTATATTGCTTTTACAACAAAAAATTTTATGGAGATGGAGGAGAGAAATGCCTTTGAAAGATAATTAAGAAGTGACCATAATTATAAATTTTTAAACTGGTTGCTTACCATACGCTTCTTCAATGAGAGCACAGTATGAATTAATGCCTATTCCATTCTGCTTAGATTCTTGTTCTCCAAGACGTAAAATATTTTCAAGTCCATTTAAAGCTACTTGGACTATTTTGGAGTCCATAACAGTCAAAAGATCACAAAGTGGTTTAATGCAGCCTAAGGCTACCAAATACCTTTAGAGTAATTAAAAAGAGAGAAAAAATGGAGTTAAAAAGACAAATACTGTTTATAACAATGACATGAAAATATTCTTCACAGTGAAATGTTATATAAGCAATTTAGAAAAGTATTCCTATACAAACTAAACATTACAAACACTTAAATTTTCACTTACATAAGAAGCTAAAAACCTTCTTTATTCTCCTATTCTCTAGTTTAATATAATCAGAAATAAATGGTACTGCAAATACACAGAATACACACACAAGCAAACTGGTACTTGGACCTATTTTTACAAGGCAAATAAGCACTAAGAATAAAGAGTTCAAGGTGTTTTTTTTATTTTAATGGCAAGGCCTATATATACACGTTAGGGTCATATAGGGGTAGGCAGAAATGGAGAAGGAGAATAGATATCTAAATTAAACCTCAAGAAATTTCTCACAAAAACAATGATAGCTGATGTGCTAAAACATATGCATGTTTCAAAAGCACAGCAGGCCTCTAGGAACAAAACAGCCCATCCTGTGAATAATTTTCATAAATAATGTTCATAAAAAAATTCCACTCATTTCTTAATGCTCTGTCCTTTCTAGTTGTTATTAGCTGCTTTTCCATCCCCTATAATGTAAATGAAGTAACTGAATTGTTCACTTGGCAAAAAATCCATATTAACCACAAAGGTTAAAAATATGCTCTGGCTGGGAATATGCCCAGAGGAATGGAAATCATCATGTTGAAGGGATACCTGTACCCCATTGTTTATTGCAGCACTATTTACAATAGCCAAGAGCTGGAACCAGCCCAAATGTCCATCATCAGATGAGTGGATACAGAAAATGTGGTATATCTACACAGTGGAATTCTACTCTTCTATAAAAAAGAATGAAATACTGCCACATTCACAACAACATGGATGGACTTAGAAAAAATTATATTAAGTGAAATGTCAGGAACAGAAAGAGAAATATCACATGTTCTCACTTATTTGTGGGAGCTAAAAATAAATAAATAAATAAATACACAAACAATGGGGGGGCAGGAAAGAAAACACAACAATCATAATTCCTTGAACTTGTTAAGACAAGAAAACAGATATGATGTTGATAGGTAGGAGGCGGGAGAGGGATTGGGGAGGGAGGAATTGGTAAAGGGACACAAAAATCAACTACACTGTATATTGATAAAATAAAAATTAGAAAAAAAAAATGCTTTGAAGCCAGGCTGCATGGCTTCAAGTCCCAATTCAAGTTGTGTGATCTTGAGCAACTGCTCTATGTGTTTCAGTTTCCCCATCTTAAAATGAGAATAGTAATAGCACCAATCTCAGAAGTTTCTTTTGATAATACAGTAGGCATTTAATAAGAATTAGTTTCTGTCCCTTTAAAGAAATGTATACACCTTCCCTGGAGCACTCGCTGCCATATACTATACTGCAGTTGATCAAAATACTTGCTGAGTGAATAACTAGCTCACAGAGTTATGAGGTTAAAGGAGAAAAAATTCACAAAAGTACCTGAGATACACTCATATGCTCATAACTGAAATGATTTACTTACCACAACAATTGGCAATGGTAAGCAGTCAACAAGTGTTAGTGGTATGCATGCTGAACCTAATCTGAGATTAAAAAGTCCTCTTCCGATATTCGTGAATGCAAAGTTAATGAAATGGTGAAAATGGTTAGAAAAATAATTATCTCAGTTTGGGCACTTGATCACAACAATAAATTTAAGAAATAATATAGGAAATAGATACAATCATGAAAATAAATTGAAAAAATACAACTATTTGCAATTGAACAAACTTTTAGCTCAAAGCAAATAGAAATAACATTAGCATTAAAAAATATATAAGATAGAACAAAGAAAAGATCATGTTTTATTACTGCTTATATTCATAACACAAATAAAGTGGAAATATGGATTAAAGCAAAGAGGTAGAATGAAAATAAAAAGCAGTGACAGTGATGTTATCAATATAAAATGATATGAATCTGAGAGAGCGAAATAATAGTACAAATGAAGGCAATAAAAGATAATGATCTTGCAATAGGTAGATTTCAAAATCACATGAGTGATCTGTAAAACAGCACTGAAATTTGACTTCTAGTTTTATAAATTAAAAAAGAAATTAAATACTCATTAGAAAATATCTCCTAAAGAGTCACTTCATGAAACCTAAAAAGTCTTGTGTTATATGTTGACATCCTCAGAATAAGAAGATTCTCTGTAGGAAAGTTAGGCTTCTATAGATGTATGAAGTGAAACTTTGCTACAGGAGATAAAAAGAGTGAAAGTATATGACAAAAAGACTTAGGAAACAATACAATAATAAAAATTATGATGATCACAAGTAATGAAAATAGTAGCTAACCTTAGGTGTCAAGATCACACAACTTTTAAAGAAGTACAATTTGAAACCAGGCTGACTTAAAAGCGCATGGTACCTACTACTTATGCTGTCAGTAAAATAAATAAACAATAAAAGCCTTAGATTCAAAAAGTTAACATAAAAACGAAAAAGGATAACTAGTATAGAAAAATAAAAGTAAAATATTATCCACAGGCAAGACTAACAACTTATTACGAGTAGAACATCACTATATAAACAAAAGTCTACTTCAATTTTATTTTAAATAAGTGGATATTCAAATGTATTAGCCATTTCTTTATGTTACACTTATATTATTTTAATGGTGTAAAAAATATTTAATGCCTATGATAGTGCATTTGGCAAATTAACATAGACCATACCTGCTCGGATTTTTCATAAATAGCCTCTCAAGAATAATGTTAACTATAAGCTAAATGAAAAAAATAAACCATGGGGAATGAATAACTGATACAACAAATGCTGTCATTTCATATTAAAAATGCTTACCAAAGTGACTTAAAAATAATGTTTTAGTTTGATCAACAAATAAACAGTATGTTTTATTTCAAATTTTGTCTCACTTACATTTTTTAAAAAGTTTTTAAAAACAATTTTTAAAAATCTGTATCACACCTTATTTGCTCTGGAGTGCCTCCTGATGTTGCATTGGTTATAGCCCAAGCCGCTTCTTTTCTGGTGCGAAACTCCGCTTTCTGAAGAATCTCAATCAAAACAGGAAAAATATTTGCATCTATAACAGCCTGAGAGGAAGAAAAATTATAAAGCATAATAAGTGCAAACACTATTTTTAAAATATTACCAAGTACAGGAGTTTTGAAACTCGATGGCTTTAAAATGTCAGGGTTTTTGAAAATACCTTTGGAAATATTTTATTTCTAATCTATCAACAAACTTTCATATACTTTTCTTTTTTTAAAAGGAAATTAACTTTTTAAAGACAGGAGAAGATATTAGCAGAATAAAAATTTTAAAGATGACAAAGCACAAAACATATGACTAATCACTGACTCAAGAAGCTTGATAGGACCCTAATAAATCATTAAATGCTTTGAGAGGAAGATCACTGCCTAACTTATTAAAAACTAAGGAATAAAAATCCCTTTCTAAAGATTAACCATTAAGTGTCAGGCACTGTGCTAGGCGTTTATATATGCACGCGTGCGCGCGCGTGTGTATTTGCTATTCCTCCCTAGAATACTACAAGTAAATGCAATTATTTTTGACGTAAATGCTATTATCTTAAAGGAGAAATGATCATGTTCTTTAAAATACTTTTCAAGAATCTTTTTTTAAAAGAATCCTTTTTAGTAACTCACTAAAAAGTATCACTGGTAAAATGTTAACTTTTGTCCAAACTGGCTTCTTAGATCTTCCTGTCCTATTCTCAGATCTGAATGGTAAATACCTGAATCTGAGCTCTGTTTCCAGCAGTGATGTTAGAAACGGTCCAGCAGGCTTCTTTTCTAATTGACTCCTTTGGGCTACTCAATAAGTGTAAGAGACAGGGTAACGCAGAACAATTCAAAATGACCTAAAACATGTTAGGAATGGAAAACAAAAACTTTTATAGTAAATAATCTACACAAAAATCTACTAAGAAATTATTTATAAGTACAAAAACCATCCTGAAAAACAAAAGTAAGAACAGAGAAATTCCTCTCAAAGTAAAACTTAGGCACTTGCTGTCTTCTATACTTCTATTTTTAACAAAACTTGTCTAATGACAGTGCAGTGAAGTACTCTGTTCTCAGTTCACTAAAATGCAAATCAGAGGTGTGTCCTTTAAGTTTACAAATGCACTCAGAGTTCAACTAGTGTAAGTAACTTGAAGATAGATTTAGTGACTGAGGTCAAAATCCAACCTCTACTTTTGCCAAATTTTTAGTGAGAAAAAATATCTATATCTATATATCAGTCTAAAAACATCTCATTCTATAACTGTTAAGAAACCTTAATGTATAGAATAAGTGTTGCATTATAATTTTTACTATTCTACCTTTTGTAAAGAAGTATATTCTGTTTTGTCCCTTTACATTCTTTATTCCATGGCAAGATTATGTTCCTATATTCAAAATATCCCAATGATTTGAAGAATGTATGAAGCAATGCACTAGAAATTAAGCTGAAAAATATGGTGTATGTTTAGAAGGGCATTTTCATTTAAAGAGCTATTTTAAATGAATAACTATCAATTACTAAGGATCACTGTTTAATAACTTTGATGAGTATCTAAATAGGACTTTTAAGATTAAAACTGAAAGAACATGTAGGCTAGAATAAAAAATATACTTTAAGGTGGTAAAGAAAGGAGAATCCATTGTGGTACAGAGTTTAAGTTTCTATCTTCAAGAAAGACTGTAACCCAAATCTGAAGTCAAATCATAGCATCACACCTTCTTTGACATCTCATCATCCTCCAAAAGACACACACATGCACACACACACACATGCACGTAGTTTAAATACCAGTCCTGGAAATGTTTCTTTGCCATCTTTCCACCCATTCTCATAATTTGAGACTTCAATATAGTATAGAAGAACCTCCATTTCCAACCCCACTTCTAATCTATTTATAATCAATTACCCTCCCACTACCAGTTTCTATTCCAGTCAAGTTTAATGCCTTTTAAACATACCTCACACATGTCTGTCTCTGTACCAATGATCACATCAATCTTTTCTATCTACTTAAGTACTTCTCTACTTTTTAGATCTAACTTCACTTGCAACTTCTTTATGGAAACTACACAGATTTCTTACCACACTGATCTCTTTTTTAAACTTTTATAGCATTTACTGACTGATCAGTTCACAGCAAACATTTACTACCTTAGGTGATCTGCTTTGTTTTAATATATATTTTCTCTCTAAGTAGAATACAAATCCCAAGAGCAGAACCCTCATCTTATACCTCCTTGCACTGATAAAGTCTAGGATAGTGTTTTTCCAGAGGTATTTGAGGTTGATCACTTGTTATCAAGAATATGCTTACTGTCACATATAGATGCCTGTACAACTACATACTCATTAATATCTAATCAAGTGGTCTGAAACACAGTAAACTTCTTAAAGTCCATTACATTAACAATTGATTGTATTAAAGTCTGAACTCACCTGTGTTTGAATATCATCACCAGTCACAATATTACCAACTGCTCTTAATGCAGGTGACACAACTTTATAATCATTGTGCCTAAAAATAATAAAAATATGAACTTACGTATTAGTAAGAATTTAAAATGTACAGAAAACCTGCAAAAATAGTACAAAAAACTCCTGTATTCTTCACCCAGAGATCCTATTCAGATTTCACTAATTATCCCAGTAATATCTTTATAACAAAGAATCTAATCCAGGATAACATGTTGCACCCAGTTGTCATGTCTACAGTATCTTTAATCCAGAATGATTTCCTCAGTCTTCCCTTGATTTTTATGAGTTTGACATTTTTGAAGATCACAAGCCAATTATTTGAGTTTATCCAATGTTTCCTCATGATTAAGACCTAGGATATGTATTTTTGGCTGGTATATCACAAATGCTAGTCTTTTCTTTACATCCTATTGGGTGGCATATCATGTTTAGTTTGTACTATTATAGTGGTGCTAAAGTCTGGTCACTAATTAAGATGGGACCTGTCAGATTTTTTTTTTACTTTACCATTATTCTTTTCCTCTTTGTAATTAATATTTTATGAAGACTACTTTGAGACTATGTAAAAATCACATTCCTTAAACTACTTTTACCACTAGATTTAGATCTCTTGATGCTTACTGTCTGAAGTATTAGTTATTTTTAGTATTGTTACCAATGCTGATTTTCTAATGCTATCATTCCAACTACATGCCTTATCTATTGGTCAATCTACTTATTTTAATATGGACTTATAGGTTCCTATTTTATTCAATAACTTAGATTACTATATTTTGTTTTGAAGCTCAAATTGTCCCTGATTTAGACAGTAAGAGCCTCTTCAAGTGGGCTTCTGTGTCTTGACTTTTCTCCATTCTTTGAGCACTCATTATTTTCTGCTTTCATCTTATTTTTTCTCAGTCCAGCCCTGGAATCAATAATTTCTCCAAAACCCTGGTTCCTTTTAATGGAGAATGGTGTTTAGAAACCATTGTGCTGTTATTACTATAGGGGTGTTAGTGCTCCCAGGCTCTTTAAGAGGACACACACAGACACACACAAACATTTATTTCTACACCTATCTCTTCATGTTGAGAGCCATGAATTCACACTGATATCTCCAGTTCTAATCTAATAACACAGGATTATACAGGCTTTATTCTCTTCCACATTTATATCTCCATTCTCTGATTATAAGAAACCAGCTTCTATTATCCTAATTGCCGTACATATGGCCAATCTCCCGACCCAGCTAGGCTGCTACACCATGGTGTGTTAACTCCAAGCCCCGCTCTAGCCTGCTTGTCTTGTCTGCTCAATATGGTGGGTGCCATGCTCAGGATTTGGCCTGATCCCCTCACTGGACCTGCCTGCTCACACTCCTCTGATGCTGTCCTCACATTGGGGCCCCAACCCCTTATCAGACCTCTCTTCTTTATGCCACCTGCCTCCTGTAGGCCTACTTAACGGCTTTTTGACAAAAGAAGGAAGGAAGGAAGATAATAAATATTTTTTAAAGAAGGTAAGAGGATGAGGAAGAAATAGTATCTTTTTAAAGCAAATTTTCATAAAATGTTTTAACTTCTTTCTAGAAAATCTGTTCTTTTTAAAGAAGGTAGCTATAACAGACCAGCAAAGAGAAACTTATCTTTAATACAAGTGAAACATTAAATGATTTTCACTAAATGGACTTTTATACAAACTAATAATAATAATGAATAACAAACTAGATTTGGTTCTGTGAGAGCAGGAACCATGTTTTATACTTCATTAACAATATCTCACATAAAACCTTAACAGATAACAATCATTCCATAAATACTTCTTGAGTCTCTCTCATTAATAAAGAGATCACATAAAACTAAAGAAACTCACTTTCAAAATAATGAGTCATAACTACAGGATATAAGATATAAGTTTAAACGTCAAAGTGTGGAGTCAACAGCTTTTTAATTCTTCCTGAAGAAAGTGACTCTTGAGCTGTTTATGAGGCCACTACTACTTTAATTGCTAAACTTAATATACAATCATACAATTATTAAACAGAAATTATAGTTACATCAAAAGTTCCACCAATCTTCGACAGACTCCAGAATCAATGACTGCTTGAATTTTATCATTAGGTCCATCGGAGAGATAAGAAAGGGCCCAACACACATCTGCTAACACATCTGGGTCACTGCTAAACAACAATCGTGATAGGACATTTAAGCAAGGTGAAACCTAGAAAGGAAGCAAGAGCCAATATTTATATTTTTTCTCTCTCTAAAACCCAGTTTCCTTAGGAAAACATAGAAACCCGTTTTAAAACAAAAATTTGCTGCAATAAAAATATCACAAAAATTAAAATATTCTATTGTTTTAAAATTATTATCAAAAAGATGAACATGACTGATTATGATTCCTGTTAATCATATACTGAATAAGATATTTGATAATTTAAAGGTTTTTTTTTTTTAAATGAAATATGTATTTGGGTTCTCCTGTTTATGTCTAAATCATATATGTACTCCCAAAAATGAGTATCAAAACTGAGTCAAGTCTAAATACTTCAGTTAAATGTTTAATATAATGATCACAGAATATGATCTAACTTCTCACTTAACTCATTACACTCTTTTACTGGGAAAAAAAATCTAATAATAATTTGAAGAGCAAAGATATAAAAAATACAAAAATAAATATATTTCTTAAGGATCTTAAAATGGAAGTCGCTAATCAACTATATTTCTTAATGTAATGAAACCCTAAATCTTCAACTAAAAAAACAGAACACATGACAACAGATTTTTAATCCCTCTAGCATTAACACACCACTAGTTAGTTGTGGATAAGTTTCCAATCTGTGAAACAAAGGGGCTGAATTAGATAAATTCTGTGATCCTTCCTGTCTTCCTGTTAGACAGACCTAGGCTCTACACTGCTTACTAGCTATGTGACCACGGGAAAATTACCTAACATCTCTAAACCCCAATTTGTACATTTGCAAAACAGGGATAATACGGTACTATTAAATTGGCAAGAAGGGATATGGCAACTAAGAAGAGTGCCTGGCCTACAGTCAGCACTCAATTGGCTCATTTTATTCCCATAATCAGTATTGATCATATATTCCTTAACACTGTTTCTTGAAATCAGCTACCTAACATATCCCGTAGTCTTTCTCCTCAAAAAGAGCTATATATTAAACGCAATAAATGAAAAGTGGTGACAGCTTTTTCATGTTCTAATATTTTAGATAAGCTTTCCCTTTACCTCTATTTTAACGACTGTAAGTACACAAACTATAATATTCTGAAAGTAGTTATTATCTCTGCTAGGCCCCTCCTTCAAGGATGACCCTAGGACCCACATAAAGTAATCAGTTAGCTTACAAAATAGATATGCCCATCTGTAAGTTAGTAAATAGAATTGGCAAAACTGGATATTTCACCAACAATCCAGCTTCCATCCTTGCCAACCACATCTTTCTTAAACAGAGAAATATGTGAATCAGTTTGTTAAAGCAAATACAAAATCTGAGTTTAAAAAAAAAAAAAATCAGCATAGCTGATATATATCTTTTCACTGAGTTAAAAAACAATGAAGATTTCTAGTTTTTTTTGGTGTGTGTGGCTGGCTGGAAGAGAGAACTGAACCTGTGACCTTGTTGTTAACAAGGTGGCACTCTAACTGAGCTAACCGGTCAGCCCTAGATTTCTAGTTTTAAGAGAACAAAGTAAAAGCATTTCTGCCCCGTTGTCTTTTCAGAAACAAGGAAAAGGAACAGCTATACAAATACCATCTTTGAGGAGACCAGTAGACATTTATAACCCTGTTCATAATATATGAAGATGAAAGTGAATAAAGGAACTGGAACTGCTTAGAAGAGGAGGGAAATTGGAACCTCATTGCCTGGAGAGGGAGCTACCAATAAGAAGGAAGTTAATGTATCCTCCCACCATCATTCCAAAAATGCCTTAGGAAGCAGAGGAGCCAATTATCACAGAAGTCAGTGGAGGCAGTGCTAAAATAGAGGGAAAGATTAAAAATCTAAATAAGAGGCAGGTTAGACTCTGGGTCTCTACTACTTAGGTAGGTGACTAGCATTCTCAATGCAACCAAAGACTGGAGATTTTTTTTTAAAGAGAAACTAAACAACAAAATGCAAACCACAGAAACTCAACTTTGGGATATCAAGCACAGTAGAGGCAGAAATGAAGCACTGGATTAAAAACTAAGGAAATTCAGTAAAAGTCTACATACGGACTGGTGAAAACCTCTGGCCCTCTTCCAATGCCCAGTTCCCAAATCTGCAGTAGCCACATGCATTTCCTACTCTACATCCCAACCCAAACTACTCACCTTTCAGCAAAGAATAAAAACCTGTCTCTTGAAAAACAGAATGGTCTCAGAAAAGAGTCTGAAATTTGGTGTTCCTCAAAGAAAATATGGTTTTGCTACCTAATTACCCTACAATAAAGTCCATAAACAAGACCCACCCATACACCCATCTTCCAGTCAGCTTTTTAGTGCCTCCCTCCTAAATTTGTCCAAAGAGCCAAGAATCACCAGAAAAACAAGAGTAGCCTCCAGTAGGAAAGAGACTAACAATAAACCATAAACAGACAAAAAAGTACAAAGAAACGGAGATACCAGAAAAAGAGAAAACTTCAAGAAAACTATATTTATCTTCAGATAGATAAGATAATTTCCTGGGTCCATAAAAGAAGAACAGAATTTTATAAAGACATGCAACCAGAAAATAAAAAAAATAATTAATGAAAATATAAAATATGGTTGTGAAAATAATAATTTCCAAAAAGAAGTGAATGATAAAGAAAAATCTCTCCCAGAAAACTTACTTCTTTGACAAATAAGTCTTGAGCCCTATAATGTTATACTATTACACAAGTTTAGAATATATACACAAACAAAAGACGCAAAGATTTCTGCCTCTGAGGAGTTTACATTTTAGTGGAAGAAAAAATACTTTAAAAATTAATATGCATACGAAATAAGAAAAACAAACACTATGCTAAAAGGTGATTTACAAAAAGTAGAGTAAAATGAGGGGGTCAGGAACACTCATGGGCTGGGGGTAGTGACAAATGACATTATTAAATACAGTAGTCAGGGTAAAGCTCACAGGAAAGTTGACTTTTGACCAGACACTGAAGGAGATGAGAGAATCAGTCAAGTAGCTATCTACGGGAAGAGTGTCACAGACCAGTGGTTCTCAAAATGTGGTCCATGGACCACTGGGGGATTCCTGAAACCCTTTTAGGGAGTGTGTAATGTCAAACTATTTTCGTCATAATTTACTAAGGCATCATTGGTCTTTTTCATTTTGTTGACATTTGCACTTAAAGGTACAAAAGGAATGGTGTTGACTGTTCATACCTTAGCACAAATCAAGGCAGTAGTACCAAAATGTACTATAGATCTTTGTATTCTTCGCCTCCAGTTAAAAGGGGGTAGGGGCAGCCAGTTTTAAGAATTACCTTGAATAAGCAGTAAAAATTATTAATTTTATTGAATCCAAACATATGAGTTCATGTCTTTTGAATATTTTATGAGATGAAATAAGAAATATGTATAAAGCCCTTCTGCACATAGAAGTCCTAGGGTGGTCTCCAGGAAAATCATTCTTGTGATTTAGCTGCAAACTGAATTAGCCACTTTTGTCCACAAAACACTGTTTATACTTTAAAAAAACTATTAATCTTCATTCTGTCTTAAAAATTTGGAGGACATTTTAAAAAATATAAACAAAGTGAGTCTGTCATTTTAAGGAAAATAACTGATAGTATCTGTTGCCAATGATAGATCTTGAGATTTCAAAAATCGGTTTTGGAAAACTTGCATCTACCACTGTTAAATTTGACAGTTTCCCAATATTGGTAGTGATACTGTAAGTTTTAAAAAGCACTAGTTATACAATGAAAGGTATCAATATTTCAGAGAGTTGCATAATTCAGTGAACGATATTTTCTACATGACCAATGCATAATGTTACAAAATCATGCATGAGAAAAAAATGATCTGTTTATTGTTAAAAGCTGCATTTTGAAGTCTCCTACTATTATTGTATTGCAGTCAATCTTTCCCTTTATACCTAGTAACATTTGCACTATATATTTAGGTGCTCCAATGTTGAGTTCATACATATTTAGAACTGTTATATTCTCTTGCTCAACTGACCCCTTTACTGTTATATAAATATAGTTTTTTATTTAAAGTCTATTTTTACAGTTTTTCACTTGAAGTCTATTTTATCTAATTACTACTGCTCTCTTTTAGTTTCCATTTGCATGGAAGATCTTTTTCCATCCCTTCACTTTCAGTCTATATGTGTCCTTACAGACATACTATATAGTTGAGTCTCGTTTTCTTATCTATTCAGCCAATCTATGTCTCATAATTGAAGAATGTAATACATTTACATTTAAGGTAATTAATGATGGAAAGGACTAACTACTGCCATTTTCTAGTTGTTTTGGAGATCTTTTCTTTTTGTCTTTCTCTTAATGTCTCTTGCATGGATAAGTGATTTTCTCTGGTAGTATACTGCTCACTTTCTTTTTAGTGTATTTACTAAATTCTTTGCTTTTTATTTTTAGTATATTTACTAAAGGATTAAACATTTTGTTTATTTATTATGTCTCGTTAGTGTCTTTTCTTTAAAAAATCAGGTTTATTGAGGTACAAATTACAAACTATAAAATTACACTATTTTTAGGTAAACAATCCTATTGGGAATTTTGACAAATATATATATTTATAAAATCACCATCTGATCAAAATAGAGAATATGTCTATCATCCTCAAAAGTTTTCTTCTGCCCCTTTGAAGCCAATTTCCTTTCCTCAGGCAATCACTGATCTGATTGTTCCTATTGTTTTATCTTCTACAAAATATCATGTAAATGGAACCATGCGAGATGTAGCATTCATGTATGGCTCCATCATTCATCTTAATGCTTCTGAGAATCATCCATGTTTCTGCATGTATCAGTAGTCGGTTCCTTCTTATTGTTGAGTTGTATTCTATCACATGAATGCATCATAATTTGTACATACATACATCACCTAATGTACATTTGGACTGTTTCCAGTTTTAGGTAATTTTAAATTATGCTGCCATAAATATTTGCATACAGGTCTTTTTACAGACATGCTATTTCATATCTCTTGGGTAAATACTAAACAGTGAGAATGCTAGACAGTTTATACCAAAGTAACTGTACCATTTTACATTCTCATCAACAAGGTACAAGAGTTTCAGTTGCATCTTACCAGCACTTGGGATTGTCAGTTTTTTAGATTTTAACCATTCTAACAGATGCGTAGTATTTTTAGTATTTTAATCTTGAATAGTTCCCCAGCCTATCTGTAGTCTTTGTAACTCTGACAGTTTTAAAGAGTCCAGGCCATTTATTCTGCAGACCATCTCTCTATTTGGACTACCTTATTGTTTGCTCATTGTTAGGTTTCGGTTTCACATTTCTGACAGGAGTCTTACATAGGTGATGATATGTTCCTTTTAGTCGTATCACATCTAGAAGCACATAATGTCAGTTTTCCCTTTATTATTGATGTTAAATTTAATTATTGGTTAAGGTAGGTGGTGTCTGCTATAATTCTAAACAATAAACATACCTGCCTCCTACCTTCTTTGTAATTAATAACTACTCTGTAGGGCAATACTTTCAGACCATGTGAAAAAATTGCTCCCCAACAATCATTCAGCTAAAGGTTTTAAAACTCATTGTGATTCCTACCTAAGGACCTTGATGGTTGTCTTTTCTAATAACACTACTTTTATATGTAATATTTGGCATCCTACTTGGTAAAGACAAGCTTTCCTTTCTCCATTTTAATTTTAGTATCAGGATGGACTCAGATACTTTTTTATCAATGTGTTAAAACTAATACCTTTCTTTATTCTTTTTGATCCTTGAATACTACCAAATTTAGCTACAGTGACCCATATATTTCAGCAGTAGAGCCAATAAAATTTTCTGACAAAGTGGATGTAGAATATGAGATAAAAGAAGGTATGTACAAATAACAAAGTTTTTCATCTGAGTAGTTGAAGAAAGAAATTCCATTAACTGATCTGGGAAAGGCTGCTGGCAGAATGGGTTTGGGGAAAAAAAGAACAGGAGCTATATTTTAGATATGTTGAGTTTGAGATGTCCATTTGATATCTAAATAAAGATATTGTGTGTGGAGTTCAAAAGGTCTGAGCCAAACGTTGAAATTTGGAAGCTGTTCACATGCAGATGATATTTAAAGTCACAGAATGGGTGAAATCAACAAGAAAGTGAGTGAAAATAGACATAGGAAAAAGTCAAAACCACACACTTTGTATTCTCAACTTTAGGAGGTAAAAGAGGAGTAAATAATAAATAAAACCAAGAAGGAGCAATCACTGAAGTAGAAGGAAAACCAAGAAAGTGTAGTGGCCTGAAAACAAATTTATATAATGTTGAATATACTAATTATCCTGATTTGAGCATCACATATTGCACATAGGTACTGATATTCAACTCTGTACTCCACAGGTATGTACAATCAACGATGTTACAATAAAAAATAAAACACTTTTTTAAAAAGTGAAAAATGTTGATATAGGAAGAGAGAGTGATTAAATTGTTGCATGTGCAGGTAATAGATCAGATAACAGGAAGACTGAGAAATGACCATTGGACTTAGCAGATTATGTAAGATGATGTCTAAACACTGATTCCTGGATTTCACAATCTAGAAATATTTATGCTCTTGTTGAAAGCAGTTTCAGTGCAATCACTAAGGAAAAAGCCTGATTGGAGTGGATTCAAGAAGGAATGCAAGGAGAGAAGTGGACCATGCAAGAATAGATAAATAAGGAATTCTGCTACCAAAGGGAACAAAGAAATAGGTGGTACTAACAGGGAAACTAATAGGGGTTCCCAGAGGCCAATGTAAGATTTCAGATGGGAGAAATAATAGCATATTTTTATAGTAATGAGAGTGCTTTAGGAGAGGGGAGAAAAATTAATAATGTCGGAGAGAGAAAAGGGAATTGCTGGAGCGATGACCCTAAACAGGACAGAGAAAGCTATGTAGTACACAAGTAGAGAAGTTAACCTTATATAGGAGCGTGGAAAAAATAATCAACAATGACAAGAAAGTGTAAGAGGTAGGTACGAATGATGACACAATGGCAAACGTGGCAATTGTAAACTGCAGAAGTTCTCTTCTGATTGCTTAAATTTTCTCAGTGGAAGCAAGGTCATAAGCTAAGAGTGAGAATAATGGAGAAGGAAGGAGAAGTAGTAGGACAGAAAACAAAATTACAAATAGCCTCTTAATTAATAATCCTCTTTCTTCCAGCTGTCAAATAATGTGTATTAACTAATATTATAAATATATGTCTGAAATTCAGATTACTACATGAATTCTCAAGATCCACATAACTTCCCAAAGTCCTTTATGTTTCATGAAATGTTTCACTAACTTTTAAAAGGATGCTTAGAAAAATGTGATTTAGACTATCAGTTTTATAAATTACAAACTTTATAAATTTTAGTATCTTTCAAGTAAGCAAATTCTTCAGAAAAAATATGCTACATAATTTCAAAGGTATCAACTACATGAAAAAACTTATTTAAAAATAAATTATTTAAATAAGGCACTTTGTTATTACAAATTTTTTAAGTCTTCACTATTTGCCTATGGCTAAAGAACTTTTACAAATCATGAAATGTAGTTAGAACAAAAAATCTCAAAATGTAATCATTTATTTAAAAAAAAGAATCCTATTACTAAGCAGAAAAAAGGAAAGAAAAATCAAACAGGGTCTTTTAAACTAATTATATCTTTACAACTATTATCACATAATTAATATCTTAACATATATATGTATGAATGCATGCTCTCTATTTTAAAAGTGTGGTAAAACCAAACTCCCAAAAGGAATGTACTTTAAAGAAAGGAATTTAAAGAGAAGAGCAATGCATAAACCAAGCTTCACTTAGTAAAAACTTAATTAAAATGCTGGTATCACATACCATTTCTAAGAGGCAAAATAAAGAAATCACTGTGACTGCTAAAAGCATGACTATGATTAGCAAGACAATTCTACATATGCAAGTTTAACATACAAACAGCAGGCAAAGAACTCACCGTCATCAGACACACTGACCCTTATTATCTCCTCAGACAAAATATGAACACTTTTCCCTTCACCTCTATATCACTGCCAAATTATCAGTTTTAACATATAATATTCATATTTCTTTTTAAAAGGCCGTTTGAAGGGCATTTGTGTACCTCATAAGTATTTTTTCCCTTGTATTATACGCGGTCCAAATATTCATTCCTTCCCCTGCTATTATTAAACTGCAAATCATACAAAATACTTTTAAACTGAGTAAGTCCGTTGCTGTAACATTACCGCACAACTTTTTTCTTAGGAAGTTGGTTGTGAAATACACCTTATTCAAAAATGTTTCTCTACAATATAAATCTATTAAACCAAATTTCTGTTTAAAATTATCAGTGTCTATTTGTCCTTTAGTAAATGAATGTTGCCATGAATCTTCTCTCTAACTGTCCACAGATTCTGTGTGCTGCTTTGGGCCACAGTGGTCACTTCTTTAAAGCACAAAGAGGAAATTTAGGGCTTCGCCAATTTGGCGTTAGTTCTCGTATAACTTCGTATAATGTATGCTATACGAAGTTATTACGCTCCTGCCCGAGGGTTCGGATCCCACATACAGACCGGTTCCCGCTCACTGGCTGAGCGAGGCGCGGGAGCAGCACCGAGGGTTGCAATCCCGTTGGCGGTCCCCGGTCCGGTACGGGGGCAACACTGAGGGTTGCAATCCGTTGCCGGACACGGAAAAAGACAAAAGACAAAAAAAAAAAATAGTAATTTTGTTCCCCATTTTATTTTCAGCATATTTTATAATACTTTAAATCAGCTTCTTAGTCATATGTACTTGTCAATAAACACAGAACAGAATAGGCATGGAAGGTTGAGGAAGAGTTTTATGAACTATGATTAAACTCACAACATGGACCATGGTACAATGAGATTTTCAATCCATGCTTGCTGTTCAGACAAAATGTGGCTAAATCATAAATTCTTAGAACTGGAATGGTGAAAGAATAAATGAGAATGCATACTAATTCATGCATCACTTTTTTTTAATTAAAAATTTATTACTTTTTATCCCCAAAAACTTTATCACTAGATCTTTACCAAATTTTGAGCTTCTCTTAGTGCTGTAGTCATTTTTCCCCTTTAATTCACTTAGACACTGAATTCAGAAGAAGTAGAACGGCATCTTAAAAATTTACCCACATTCTATATTTCTAACAGCATCTTAGAGGTAAGATAATATAACTAAAGTGGACATTTACTAATATCTTTCAAGCAGCAAAACATTAGTAGATGAGGAAAAAGATAGTCTAAGAGAGAAAAGGTACAATGGGAAAGCACATACCACTCTGGACTAGTGACTTTTCCAACTTTCCAACTAACAGTAAACCTGGATGAATTACTTTAATCTTTGTGGGGGCTTCAATTTCCTATAAATGAAAAGAACTAGAATAGAAGATTTCTAAAGTCAACTCCAAGGCAGAAACATCTGGTTATAATGGTTCCCTCTGGGCAAAGGAATTCAAGGGGTGGGGGAAGAGTGGAAGAGAAATTTCCTTCTTACTGTAAATCTTTTGAATTTTGTATATGTGCAAATATTATTTAGTCAATTAAGAAAATAATTACTAACAATAGAGTCCCCTCAAATTCAAAAATATCTATCAAAAAGAAACTTAAAAGTTTATGGATATGGATTCTTTAAATTGTGTATTTTACTCATACCTTACTAAAGTTTGGAGGAGGGTTTTTGCCTCTACATAAATTTGAGAGGGCCCATACAGCATTTCTGGTTGTTGTGAGTCTGTTTGAATTTGTTAATAACCTGCCAAGAAAAAGAAAAAAGGGATCGTCACTTTACATTCATTTTTCCTTGGTAGCTATTTTCTATCATAACATAAAAGTCTCTTCAATATATTTTATAAGATTTCCAAACTGGCAAAACAGGAAAAGGGAATCTTTAAAATTCATTACATTCAAAAACAAAAGTCAACATATTACAGTTCTATTCTCTAAAGTTTGAATTTATGATCTGAATGCATTCTTAAATCATAAAACACTTTGAAAATAAAGGGTGTATGGTAATTTTACTTATTTCTATATACTTTAAAAAGAGTACTAGATTACTTTTGCTTTGATCATAAAAATAATACATGATACAAATTCAGGAAACAGGAAATACAGGGTCAAATTAAATGAAGGTCACCTATTGACAAGGGAGGTTTTTCATTTTAACAGATTATGTGTCTTAGTATTTTTTATCTGGTTTGTAATAAATGCTGATATCTGCTAAGAAACTGGGTGTCTGAAACAAGAACTTTCTTTTCAACCTTCTAAGGATGTGCTACTTATAGGTTTTTTCACAATATAATAAGTTATGTTTTAGTTATTTATATTTAAATAGATCCCCTAAAGTAGTGTGGTCCTTGAAACTTTTAGTGAGTTGTGTGCCCTTTGAGACCATAATGAATCTTACTTCACAAAGAAAGCACACACAACAAAATTTTGGCATGTAATTTCAGGAGTTTGTTACCCTCATAAGGATCTTCACAAGCCAGCTAAAAGTATAGAGAATGTAGGTTTAAAAAAATCCCTGTTTTGAAGTGACAGCAACAAAAATGGTTGAAGAGAGAACTCTGGGGGCTCATCCTTCCCCAGAAACACTAATAAAAAACTTGCAAACACTGTCAGAATAAATTTTATCAGAACTCTGGATGACAGTCAAAAGCTCTCTTAGTTGCTGTAAACTTTTGACTATGTCATTAAAAGACAAACGCATAAAATAATAATTATAAATTTATGACAATGGGCACACAATGTATAATGATGCCATTTGTGGCAATAACAACTTAAAAAGAGTGGAACAGAGATGTCTCGGAGCAAAGTTTTTGTTTACTTTTGAAGGCAAATTAGTAGTAATTCAAACAAGATTGTTGTAAGTTTAAGATGTTAATTGTACTCCCTAGAGTAACTCTCAAGAATATAACTTTAAAAATATATGAGAAAGGACATGAGAAGGAAATCAATACTGTCCATTACCAAAAAAATCAATTAAATATAAAAGAAGGCCATTAGAGAAACTAAGGAGAAAAAAGATATGACATACAGAAGACAAGTAACAAAATGGTAAAAGTAAGTCTTTCCTTATCAGTAGCTACACTAAATAAACAGATTAAATGTTCAAATTACAAAGCAGTAACTGGCAGAATACATTAAACAAACCAAAAAACACTGATCCATCTATAATACTGTCTACAAGAGACTCACTTTAGATTCAAAGACACATCCGTGTAACCAGCAGCCAGAAAGAGAAATTGCTAGCATTCTACATCCATTCCCTCCAAAGCTATACCTCCTCTCTTCCTTTAAATCTTTGCTAAAATTATACTTACTTAGGAATAATTCTTTCTTGACCACACTATGCATACTACAGTTCCCTCTTATCTATCACTCTAATCCCCTTCCCTTTTTATTTTTCTCTGTAGAACTATCTTCTGTATATAACTTAAGAATTGCATTTATTTTATACCTACAATCTCTAAAAATCATCAAACCTACACAGTTATGACTTGTGAACTTTTCTGTGCATATGTTATATTTCACTAAGAAGTTTTTGAAAGAAAAATTTTGAGGGAAAGAAACAAATTACAAAAAAGAAGGAAAATACTATTTCATATATAGTATTACTTTTGGCCATGCAGTGGAACAAGACTCTTTATCCAGACACAGCACTATTTTTGTAGTGAATATCATTCCCTCCTAAGAGAATCTTGAGTTTTTATTGTCTCAGTTTATATAGAGTTAAGCACCCTACACCATTTGTGTAGTGTTTGGCTAGTAGGATAACATGTTAAACATTTAATAAAAAAAATAGTGTAAAAAAATAGATTCAAAGACACAAATGGGTAGAAAGTGAAAGAATGGAAAATAAATTTCCATGCAAATAGTAATCAACAGAGAGACAGTGTGGTTAAACTAATATCAGACAAAATAGACTTGAAACCAAAAAATGTTTTAAGAGACAAAGAAAAACATTATATAGTAATAAAGTCAATCAATCATGAAGATATAGCACTTATAAACTTATATGACCTAAAAACAGTGCTCTGAAATACATGAAGCAAACAGAATTGAAGGGAGAAATAGACAATTGTACAATAATAGTTTGAGAGTTCAAAATGCTGCTTTCAACAATGGATAGAATATCTAGGTAGATGATCAGTAAGAAAATAGAGGCCTTTACAACTAAAAATCAACTAAATATAACAGACATCTATAAAACACTCCACTTAAGAACAGAAGAACATATATTCTTCTCAAGTGCAAATGATACATTCTCCAGGATACATCATATGTTAGCTCACAAAGCAAGCCTGATAAATTCTAAAAAATTAAAATAATACAAAGTATTTTCTCTGACCACAAATAAATAAAATTAAAAATCACTCACAGAAGGAAAACTGGAAAATTCACAAACGTGGAAATTAAGTAACACACTCTTAAATAACCAGTAGATCCAAACACACACACACACACACACACAGACATCAGAAAATATTTTGAGAGGAGTGAAAAGGAAACACAACATACCAAACCTTCAAGAATGCAGTGAAAGCAATGCTCAGAGGGAAATTTATACCTATAAACACTCACATTAAAAAAAGGCTCAAATCAACAAACTCAACCTCCCACTTCAAGCATTTAAAAAAATTAGAGTAAATGAAACCCAAAGCTGACAGAAGGAAGAAAATAATAACATAAGAGCAAAGATAAACAAAATAGAGAATAGAAAAACACTAAGAAAACCCAAAGGTGGTTCTTTAAAAAAAACTGAACAAAATAAACAAACTTTTGTTCAGACCTACAATGGAAAAAAGACTCAAATTACTAAATTTTGGAATGAAAGTGGGTGATGTTACTACCATCCTTTCAGAAATAAAAAGAATTAAATAAGAATATTATGAATAATTAAAAGCCAACAAATTGGATAACATGGAAGAAATTTTTTTGATTCTTAGAAACACACAAACTACCAAACTGACTCAAGAAGAAATAGAAAATATGAATAGACCTATAACGAGTAAAGGTATTAAATCACTAATCAAAAACTTCCCAGTAAAGAAAAGTCCAACATCAACTGGCTTCACTGGTGAATTCTACCAAATATTAAGAAAGAATTAAGTCCTTCTCAAACACTCCAAAAAATAGAAGAGAACACTTCCTAATTCTATGAGGACAGCATTACCCTGATACCAAAGCCAAAGACCACAACAAAAGTACAGACCAAGATTTCTTATGAATATACATTTAAAAATCCTCAATAAAATTCTAGGAAACTGAGTCCAGCAGTATAGTAAAAAGATTGTATACTATGGATCAGATTGGTTTTATCCCATGAAAGCAAGGGTGGTTCAATATACAAATATCAATCAATGTAATAAACCACATTAACAGAATAAGGGGAGAAAAAAAAGTGACCATCTCAATTAATGCCAAAAAGAAAAAGGCATTTAAAAGAACTCAAAAATTATCTTTTCATGATATAAACACTCAACAAACCAGGAATAGAAAGAAACTTCCTCAACATGATAAAGGGTATTCATAAAAAACCCACAGCTAAATCATACTCAATAATGAAACAGTGAAAGTTTTCACTCCAAGATAATTAGAAAAAGATACTTGCTTTTGGCACTTCTATGCAACACTGTACTGAAAGCTCTAGCCAGAGCAATTACACATGAAAAAAGAAATAAAAGATGCCTAAAAAGCAAAAAGTGAAACTATTTCTATTCACAGCAACATGATCTTGTATACAGAAATCCAAAATAACCCACAAAAAAAACTATTAGTGCTAATAAATGAATTCAACAAAGTTGTAGGATACAAGATTAACACACAAAAATCTGTTGTATTTCTATATACTACCAAGTAACAAGTAAAAAAATAAATCAAGAAAACATTTTTTTTTACAATAGCACCAAAAATAATAAAATACTTTGGAATTAGTTTAATCAAGATGGTATATGACTAGGCACTGAAAACTACAAAATACTGGTAAAATTAAAGAAGTCCTAAATAAATTAAAAGATACCCCATATTCTTGCACTGGAAGATTTAATACTGTTAAGATGGCAATACTCCTCAAAGCGATTTATAGATTCAATGTAATCTCTATCAAAATGATAATGGCCTTTTTGCAGAATGGAAAAGTCAATTCACTAAAAGATGCTTTTAATAGTACAAACTTCAAAATGACTCTGATATTGAACTGTAAATCAGTACAGATGCTCTTCAACTAACAGTGTGGTTATGTCTCGATAAACCCATTATTGAAACCCATAAATTGAAAATATTGTAAGTCAAAAATGCATTTAATACACCTAACCTTCTGAACATCATAGCTTAGCCTAGCCTACCTTAAAGATGCTCAGAACACTTCCAATACAGTATTCAATAAATTACATAAGATATTCAAAACTTTATTATAAAACAGGCTTTGCATTAGATGATTTGGCCGAGCATTGCAAGAGAATATCGTACCATATATCACTAGCCCAGGAAAGGATAAGAATGCAAAATTCAAAGTGAGTTTTTACTGACTGCCCATTAGTTTCGCAGCATCATAAAGTCAAACAAAAGTATGTCGAACCATTGTAAGACAGAAAGTATTAGTATTTTTTTTATAGCTCAGCTAACTTCTTAAATACTATGGAACATTAACTTTGGATAAACCCATAGTAAATGCAGTTGTAGCAAGTGGTTCAGTATCCTACAATGTTTGTCCTCAATTAATTTTAGTTGAATGAAATTATGCCAAGAAATTACTTCTGTCCACAGATAGCTATTTTCTTTAAAGGAGTAAAATGTAATTTGCAAACAAGTATCTGGAAATATGGTCTACCATCCTCTGCTGGAGAGGATGGAGAACGGCGCAGAAATGATAACGTAAAATTTTTCCTTCTAATCACCTTCTCCATTTTTTTCAGTACTTATCACTGTCATTTAGCCTAAAGTTCCTCTTAGTGAATGATAAACAAAATGTATAAAGAAACCTATCTTTCAAATAATTTTATGTCATTTCTATAAAAAAACCTTACATTATAAAGCAATATCTTTTCAAAAAATGTGTAAAACGGCTCAAGAAACCATTATATTAGACACTTTAAGTAAAATTCTAATCCTGAAAGAAAAATCTTTATGAGATTTGTTCTGTGAACATTTATTTCAAAATCAAATATAACCCCCTGACATCCTAAATACACCATCTGTTCAAGTGTTAAAGATTCCCTGCTGTAGCAATGTTTACATTTTATTATATTATAAACTTCAATACATCATTGTTTTGTATAGTAAGTATTTTGGCATAGTAAGCATCAAGTTAGCAATGATCACTGTTAAGTACGGTTCAATAGGACATAAAAGACATAGATAAGACACAATTTGAAATATTTCCTGGTTTTCCCTAATTTCAAGCTACTGCAGGCATGGCTAACTATCAGCCAAATTTAAAAGCATCACTGAAGAACATAATAGTGTATGTAGAAACATAGTGGAGTATATAGTTTCTTTTCCAAAAGTAATAACTTAATTGTGATAAACAAAGTACTTACTCTAAAAGAGGTGGAAGTATTTCACAATTCAAAACAAAATCTCTGCATTCTGCATTGTCACCAGCAATATTACCAAGTGCCCAAACAGCCTTAGAAAAATAAGAAAAAATTTTCTTAAGACAATATCTTAAGTAAGATGCTCTCTTAAGGATGAGAGATCTTAGTACAGAACAAACAAAGCAATAGTTTTCAACAACATATGAAAAACAAAAGTGGGGCAGTGAGAAAAGAAAACTTTACAAATGTAATTTAATAATTTTTTAAATCAATTGAAAAATAGGGCATTTAACAAGTTTTCCTTTACTAGTAAAATGCCTATACTGTTCAACAAAAAACATAGCTTGTCTACTCTGAATCTACATGGAGAGACAAAATATATATATTTAGCAAATTTTCCAATTACTTATACTAGAGGTTTGCTTCTATGCCAAGAATCCACTCACTGTAAAATAAGAGAAGGAGAAACGAAGCACAGAAAACTGAGGTAATGGCTAATATGAGAATTAGCGTGGATTGATCCCTGAAAATAAGTTTAAGATTAGACAGGGTTCATTATAATTTTTAAAATAAATGCTAGTAAAAGATCAAATTATTCACTTATTAAATTTCACTTAGAAGAGAAATAATGCAAATAAAAATTGTCATTTTATTATATTCTCACTTCAGATTTTTCAGGCCAGTACAAAAGTAGACATGTCACTTTTCAATTGGGAAAATGTTATTTTAACGTTTAAAACATGAGTTAACATTTTTAATATATATTTTAGACCTAAGTTTATTTTTTATTTTTTTAAAGAAAAACATTTAAAATAAAGACATTTTCCATCCTATGAAGTACAATATTCTGTTGGTGCAGATATTAATTGGTATAACTTTTTTGGCCAACTTGGAAATATATAGTAAAAGCCTTAAAAATTTTGTATCTTTTGGCAAGGTAGTCATTTTCCCTAATAAAATAATCAAAGGCATATAAAGACTGATATACAATGATGTTCATCACAATATTATTAACAACCCTAATAAGCTAGAAATAACTCAAATGTAAAACAATTGAGGAACAGATGACAAATTATGGTACAAACCCGAGTGGATAATGTGTAGTCTGTAAAATTTTCTTGGGAGAATAATTAATTTCATAAGAAAAGGCGCCCAATATTAGTGTTAAATGGAAAAAAGAAGTGATATAAAATTACATGATGAATGGTATGGTAGAGAGATCAATAGATCAATGTGCATTAAAATGATGCAAAACAAAAATAACAAAATACTTGATTTTCTTTGGATGGTACAATTACATGTGATTAATTTTCCTTCTCACAACAAAACTTTGAAAATTTATTCATGCAGTTTATTAAAAAATTGTTCTATTCAAAGTAATGTGATATTTTAAAAAGGAACAACAAAATAATCCACTTAACATGTGGAGAATAAGGAGTAGGACTAAAGTTTAGAACCTGGTTCAACCATTCACTGTGACTTAGGGTAAGTTACTAACTTTTCTGGGTCTCAGTATGCTCATTCACAAACAGGAATAGTAATTCCTATGCTAGCTGAGATCACACTTATAGAGAACCCAGGACTATGCCTGAGATAGTTCATTCTTCCTCCCTCCTAATTTTACATTGAAAAAAAACTACTATATTTTAACAAATGCAATGTACAGACAATTAGGCACAAAAATAAATTACAAATCATAATCACAAATGGTACTTTCACAAAAAAATTAAAATCTAGTATAGAAACCTACCTGTTCTTGAACATCTTCATGCTCTGAATTAAGAAGTTTGATAAAAATTGGAACAGCTCCAGTTTCAATCACTACCTTGGTATGCAGAAAAGTTCCAGATGCTATATTAGTTAATGCCCATGCAGCTTCAAACTAAGAAGAAAAAAAGTAAAATAAACGAAAGCACCAAAGAAAGGTCAGAAAGGAGAAAAAGGGAAGAGAGAAAGTAAAAACAGCTGAACAAGTCTGAGAGAAAGACTGACATGATTAATAAGATGCATCATGAAGTCAGATTTCATGGATAAAAATCCTATTTAAAAAAAAGTATTCTTCAATTTGAAAAACAAGACCTGGGAAAGAATATAATGAAAATTTACAGAATCAACAATATATAAACACATTTAAATTTATACAGGTTGAGTCTCCTTTATCCAAAATGCTAGGACCAGAAATATTTTTGGATTTCAGATTTTTTCAGATTTGGAATATTTGCACATACGTAATGAGATAGCTTAGGGATGGGACCCAAGTCTTAACACAAAATTCATTTACATTTCTTATATACATTATACACATAGCCTGAAGGTAAATGTATATAATGTTTTAATAATTTTGTGCATGAAACAAAGTTTGTGTCCATTGAATCATCAGAAAGCAAAGGGGTCACTATACCACCAGCCACAGATGTGGTTATAATCTGTGGTTAGTTGGCATAACCATCATTCCCGACTCTGAATTTATATGTTACTGATAAGCAATCATTTTCTTACACTTATTCACAGATAAGTACATAATGGTAAAAAATATGATATACCATTAATACAGTGAAAAAGTAATGTGTTCAGGGTAACTAAGCAGCACAGAAGCATCACCACAATACATGTATCAGCTGTTAAACAGAAACAACAAGAAAAAAGGCAGGCTTTCAGTTTCCACCTACAATGCTATGTTTTGATTAAAAGGTTACTGTCCACTGTACTTTTTTTTTTTTTTTAGGTGAAAGGAAACATGAGGAACAGTTGAACCAGGAAGTCGGTCCTCTTAGGGTAAGGAGGCATTTTGCTGGATGGCTTTTTTAAATGTTTTCTCCAGAGTCATCTGCCTCATTAACAATAGCTTCTATCTTAGAAGTATGTTTGATGTTGTAAACTGACATGATTTCTTGTTCTGTTATGAAAGCATGAAGCTCTAGTCCTTCAAAAAGCGCATCATACATTTTCACCATGTCATCTATAGGCACCTTTTTTCAGTGTTAACAAATCATCTTCATTGTCACTATTATCACGATCACCTTGATTCAGAACCATTTCTGCTATTTCACTATCACTCAATGAATGAACAAATGGAGCATCATTATCAGTGTTAAAAACTTCTTTGATATCCATTTCTTTCAGCTTACTGGAGGACTCTGAAGGTATATTTTTTGCATATGTACGGAGGTGAAACATCTTTTTTTTCTCACTTGACATACAGAATCCTTTAAAGTCACCACCTTGTTCAGCATCATCACTAAACATAACTACAGGCCAGAGGTTGTCCAGGCTTGCAAACTGTCTTTAGTAACTGTGTTCTAAGCATTGACAACAGCATATATGGTATCCTTCATACTAAACTTCTTTTGAAAAACTTCCATAAACCCATGCCTCTGTTCACTGCTGCTAGCATGCTATTCAAGAAACTGTTTTTTATATTCTCTCTTCATTGATCTAAGTTTATCCTGGTTGTATGGCTGAATTAATGAAGTCACACTGGAGAAAAAAGTACGTGGTATAAACATTATTTTTGATGAGAATTGCGTCTGGAGAATGAGCAGAAAACAGTTGTCAAGAAATAACAAAACCTTGCAGTCATCATCCAGTCCAGCTTCCCTGCAGTGAGCACAAGTCACTGGTACAAAATGTTTGTGAAACCCATCAGAAAAAATGTCCCTGGTCATCCATCCCTTTTTATTAGTATAATAATGGACCAGTAAAGAATTCACTCCTTGAAAACAGTGATGATGCAAACTTTTGCCTATCACAGCAAGTTTACACTTATGCATGCCTGCTGCATTAGCACATCCCAGCAGTTATTCTGTCCTTGGTGTCCTTAATTCCGGTAGTGGCTGTCTCATCAGCTGCAGTTAGTGTCTTTCTGGGGCAATAATGAAAAACAGTGATATTTTATCAGCGTTAAACATATTCTGTCATCAGATTTTCCTCAGTGATAACATTGGCAAAATCATCAATGAATTTCTCCACTGCTTCATGATCAGAATACTACAAATTTAATGCTGTGTCTCTTCTTAAATTTCTGCCACCAGACTGTTGAATATTCATAGTTCCCTTCAATTTTTAGTTCATCAGGATAGGTTTTTGTTTCAATATCAGCATACCATTAAGTGGCATTTAATGTATAACATTAAGTGTTCGCTGTGACAATGATGGATCTACTCTTTCAATAAATACATAATCAGTATCTTCATTTTTGGCTTTATGTAGTATTTTCTATTTTTCATTAACTTCTGTTCATTGTCTGAGCACAGAACCCCAAGAGTTTACCCTTCTGTTTCCTCAGGTCATATATGGTGGTTATTCCAACACCATACTCTTCTGTAAGACATTTCACATTACCCCACTGTCCAGTTTCTCCAACGGCTTGACTTTCTGTGCTATAAATAAATATAAATGCTTCTTCTTTTTCTTATTGTTGTTACACAAAGGGTTATCTACAAGAGTTTGATATTTTCAACAATATCTTTACACCACAGAGCAGAGAATAAGCAAAAAAAGCACAGTGAGTAATGCATGCACATTCTGACCCCATAAGGGACATCATATGAGAAAATGATGTCTGCACATCCAGCCTGAACATGCACTATTTTATTACCCTTTGTGGGTATGCTTGTGTGGGGGAATCTGGGCATGCACAGAAAAGATACATAGCAGCTGAAGTGAGCTGGACAGGTCTTTTTTTCCTTGGGGATACTGAATAAACTGTGTTGTGCACTTGCATTTCGACTGCAACTGGTCACATGAAGTCAGGTGTGAAATTTTCCACTTGCGGCATAATGTCAGTGCTCAAAAAGTTTGAGATTTCGAATTTTGGATTTCTAAATTAGAGATGCTCAACCTGCAATTCATAAAACTCCTAATGTTTAGTATTAGAGAGCTTGGTGTTCTAAATAAAGCAAGAAGTTTAAAAATAAATAAGAGACACAACTTAATACAGCAATAGTATATTTAGGGAACTTAGAATCATAAAAAGTACTTTTGTTTCCCTAGAGAACATACAGCCCTTACCTCATCATTTAGGAAAATGAAAATTAGAAGTTGAGAGATTTAGGTGTTTGTTTAACATCAAGAGGTCATTATTAGCAGAGCCAGGACGAGGACTTCTTTAAGCAGCAGAGCCTCTGAGAATTTACTCATATCAATTCAATTAGAATTCAGATATACTTATATGTGATGGATTTTATAACGGAAGTAACTCAAATATACTTACATGTGATGGATTTAGAAAAGAAGCAATTCAAACAAAATTGGCTCCAAAACAAGAAACCATTAGTAGCAAATTATTTGGAAGACATCTTAAAACTGTAACTATAACATCGTTGAGAAGCAATGCTATTGAGGACAAACCTAACTTTGGTCACAATTTTAGTATATTACACTAATTTATTCTTCTTTCAAAAAAAGAACTAATCAATTAGCTAAAAATGTTTTAAGAGGAAAAAGTTACAACCCTGGTTAGCTAAAAACTAAAATAAATTTAACCATTAAATGAACAATTTAGTTTGAGGTTTTCTAAAATAAAAAGTTATTAAAGACTTACAGCTACAGAATTTTTTTTAACATAATAATGATTTTATATACTTTTTCTAAAATTGTTTAATAAAATAACAATTTCTAAAAGAAACTAGCACTGCAACAAGCATGTGCCCAAGGCGAAACAGGTGGCACTACCTTTTCCTTTAATTGCCAAGTATTTATTAAATGCTTATGATAGAGTTAGCATTGCAGAAATTGCTTTCATTAGAAACTTTAATCATGTCATTTCTAGAAAGGCATTAAGAAGGAAACTAGACTCACTTGTAAAGTACAATTTTCATTTCTTTCAAGAAATTTCACAAATCTCTGTACGACTCCTGGTTTCTGTATAACTTGGTCTATCGGTGGATTAGGTTCTAAAAATTAAAAAAGAATCAAGTTATTACAGACACAAAAAGACAATGATCTGGTCCCTATGCCAATTGACAGTGCACACAAAATAACTGTTTCGTAGGTTTTACTGATCTAAGTTTAAAATCCTTAGCTGGATGTAAGTGAAGACAAACATCTTCATAATTGCAATGTTTTTTGCAAAGCCAATTCTACTTTCTCATTACAGCAATAGTAAGAAATTTTAAAAATACTTTGTACGTAAATATTTAAATTTCTTAAGTCAAAGGTTATTTAAGAGGTTACCTTTGCAACATGGAACTACTTTGGTGCGATACTCAAAACACCATCTGAGAAATAAAGTTTCCACTAATTATAGCACTACCCTCAATTTCCAAGGATAACTCCTTCACTATCAACCATGACTTGCCTAATGTGTCTTATCCAGGTGAAATTCTATTTTGTCGGGTATTATTTATTATTTACAGAAATGCTATTGGACTATCTAAAATTCTTGAAAAGTTTTCATGAAATGCAGAGGGCTTCTGAGAATCATAAAATCTCTAGGAAGTTTATGTAAAATTCAAAGATATTTTAGTTACTGGCCATCTACATACAAAGAACTTTTTTTTTCTATCTTGGCTTCAGCAAAAAGTACCCTCTGTGGTTCTTCAGTGACTTCTCTGTTGGTGTGCCTTTGGGTTAGTCTTATTCCTGTTGTTTATTTGCTTCCTAGAAAATTTACCTATTATGTGAATTGAATTATCACTTATCATTATCATTTGTGATAACTCACAAATCTAACTTCTTTAACTGAATTCTTCTCTATTCCAGACCATATTTCTAAGTGCCTATTAGATGCATTTTTATTTTTGCACCTGCTTCAAAATGTAGCATAATCAAAACTAAACTCATTATATCACTATGTGTGTTCCTTCCCCTTGCCTTCTGCCCAACACCCAAACCTTTTACTGAGTTATACATCCATCTAGTCACAAAGAATTCTCTTTTCCACTTCTGACTCTTTCTTTTCTTTTTACTTCCTCTATTTGACTATATTATCGATCATAAATAACTCATATAAATATTAACACATTGTTACAATCAGCAGGATGAATAAGTGAATGGTAATCATAAAACATCTGTACAAATCCTCCTTTTTTGAAAAAGAAAAACCTTCCCACTAAGTTTTAAGTCAATTCAAATCCTAGAAACCATATCCTCAATTGTGAAAAAAGATTTACTTCAAAATGTACTTCTTTCTTTTCTTCATTTTTACACAAATGTGCTATTCTTCTAACTTGGTCAAAAATTAGAAGATTTCTGCAAAGTTAATAAAGCTATGCCCATAAAGTTTTGTTTTGGAGCTCTAAATGAAAATTTCAGATTCTTCAAAATGTTAATTCTAGATCCTAAACTATCGTTATAGTCATAAAACATCAACAGGAAAAACTACATGTCTGTAATCTTTTACCTTCCACCTTTAAAAAAAATCAAAACAAAATCCTAGGGTTGTAGTTACCACTTTCACATTCTTGATTTTTTCTCTTTTTTCCAAAAGAAAATTCTAAATTTACCATCCTCTTTTTTTTAATTTAGGGAACAAAAATTTTGTCTTGTTCTTTTTGAAGGGAGAAGGAGATGAGGATGAGAAAAGGAAGAAAAAAGGGTTTTTGTGGTTAGAAGCTGGGGAGAAGTGAGTGCTGAGGCAGTCAGTTATATCTACATATGTAGGTAAATATAGATATAAATGATATATATACATATTCTTCAAGCAATACTCTTTTATTAATGCCTTAATAAAAGATGAATGAAAATAAAGAATTCAATAATGGAGAAGTTGTGGTATAAAAATACTGGTGACAAAATCTAAAACTCTTAAACATAATTAAATCTTAAAAAATTCTATTAATGATTATGATATAATGTATATGTCAAAAAGAAATCTTGAAAGAGAATTTGATAATGTAAAAAACAATTTAAAAATATTAATTTGACCCCCCAAAATAATCCCAATTACAAAATAAAAACTGTGAAGTATGTGAGAAAGAGAGAGAAGGCTGTTCTTGATTGTACAAGTTACTTTAGCTTGGGAGATGAGGAATGGAAAACAAAAGATAAATGTATTTATGAACACATACTACAATAGGAAAGGAAAGGTAAAAACTTTGTAATCTATGCTGTCTTGACCACAAGAGTTCTTTCATTCCTCATGTTACTAAATTCTGTCTCTCTTAGGAAGATAAGGCAGCAGAGCCAAGGGCATTTTCAAAAATCTTATCAGTTTATATATGGGATTCCACATAATTAGAATCATTAATTCTATAAATTCCACAAGACAAAGGTTTAAATTTTTATTTAATAATGAATTCTTATAAACTCAATATAAAATTGGACAAATAACATAAACAGGCAATTATAAAATATAAAAAGTTGATGAATAAGGTAAAATATTCAACCTAATTTCTAAAAAATTACCATACAATGAGCTATAATTGCATAAGCATTATTTCTGTTTTAAAGATAATTGTGAGTTTTAGTAAAAATACAGTGAAATGAATAGTTGTACAAACTGAAGATGGGAGTGTAAATTAATACTGGTTATTCCCTTTGACCCACTATTTTACTTTTATGAATGTATTTCAAGGAAGTTTTAGATTGTACAATGATTTTTGTAGCATCATTTATGATAATCAAATATTGGGAAAATATTATATACCTGATTGATTTTATATTTATGTCCTATAATGTTATGTTGCCATTTAAAAATCATGTCTGAAAAATATTTCTACAAGAATTTAAAAATATGTGTCTCTAACTTTGTTTCTTGGCAGCAGGACTAAAAGGATTTTTATATTTGCTTCATTAAATTCTTTTACATTTTGCAATTTTTCTATAATCAACATGTGTTACTTCGATAATACTCATATAATTTAAAAATAGATGTTATTTTAAACAGAAACTAAAATCTACTACGTCTGGCAAAGAAAGGTGTTTTAAAATAAAAAATATCTAATAAAATATAACTTTACTACAAAATCCTGTAATATCAAATAAGCATACTGAAATAATTCTTGCCTTTAGAAAGCAGTTTTCTAAATTTCTGTGTTGCTGTTAGCTGTTGATCAGCATTATTAGAAAAAATCATCTGAACCATATCTGTAGTAATAACTTCTTCCTAAAACACACAAAAGAAAATATGATTAACATTTAAATATTCTGCATGAATATTTGCTGTATACACTATCTCTGAAATTTTGCTGAGATAGAATTCAAAATACTTTTGTAAAATATACCTCTGGAATGGGTACAGTGGAACTGATATCCGGATCCTGGATAGGACTTTCCAGCATAGATTCATCATTTCTGGGCAAAGAGACGTTTCTGCGTTTGAACAACTATAATAAAAAGAAATCACTTTATACATTAAGCTTTCCATAAAACATTCAATTGCCATACAATTCCATTTTTCATTTAAGTGAAGAAAACAAACTAATAATTTATAATTTAAAATTATGAATATTTTAGTATTTCCCAATCATTACACCAGAAAGACCTAAAGTATTTATGAGAAGTAACTTTCTGGGCTAGGTTAGCTTTTGCTTGCAGACCTACTTCGGGTCATTTTCAATCTCAGGTCTTTTACCAATGGTGAGCCCATAAGTAGAGTACGCATTTACATTTCATAACACTTGAAAAAGCATACATACCCACACTGAATTATGAGGTGCCTAAGAATTTTTCCAAGAAAATCTTAATAAAAAGCAAATCTGTTACGTAGGAGAGATAACATATGGTATATTAACAGAGTTGTATATCCTATTAACAAGGAATAGAGAACAAATTCTCAGGAAAGACGACCCAATGCTTATTAACTCAGGAGTGGATAAAAATGAAGGAAAAGGGCTGGCTGGTTAGCTCAGTTGGTTAGAGCACAGTGTTATAACACCAAGATCAAGGGTTTGGATCCCCTTACCGGCCAGCCGTCAAACAAAGGTGGTGGAAGGAGGAAAGAGACAAAGAGACATGTTGAGGTCACTAAGGGAAATTTATAGGTACACTTCCTAAACAAAAATTGAGGGAAAAAAAATTTTGTTTCAGTAGTCCTCCCCTTATCCACAAAGGATACGTTCTAAGACCCCCAGTGGATGCCTGAAACAACAGATAGTAGCAAACATGTTTCTGTTCATGTCTTCCACCCACAAATTTAATGCCTTTTCCATCTCAAAGGAGAGAAACTAGAAAAAGGGATGATTCACATTCCAGGAGGGATGGGGCAAGATGGAATGGAAGGTGTGAGATTTTATCATACTAGTCAGAACTGCAAGCGATTTAAAATTTATGAATTGTTTACTTAGGAAATTTTCCATTTAATATTTTCAGACCACAGTTGATGTGGGTACTGAAATCATGGAAAAGGAATCCTTGGACAAAGGGGGACTACCGTATAGTCCTTTAGATAGCTAAATAAATACTGCTCTTCTTCAATGTATACACACTTCTCTTTCTAATCATTCAGTCAATGAAATTTTTTTTTAGTATCTACTATAATATATTGAAGACTTTGCTAGATACTATTGATAGGGAGATGACAAATCATAATTATATTTCTAAAGCTGGGCTTTTTCTACTTTCTTCATTGCTAGCCCTTTTCACACATCACTTTTCATTTGTATATGTAAGTACCACACCCTACTATATATAAATATTTCTAAATTTAAATATATCTTAGAATGAAAATGTTGTTGAGATGCACTCTCTTAAATGATTTTCTATTCTTTATATCACATATGTAAAGTATAAACAGGGAAGGCTAATAAATCTGGCTAATGAGACTACAGGAAAACAGTATGAATAGAATGGGAAGATGACTATAATTAACTTAGGGGCAAGAGCTATGAAAACCACAAAAAAGCAAACAAGTATAATTAATTTTCTTTAGAGGGAAAATTTTACATTGACAAATGGAAGTAATCTAAATAGACTCAAGAGTAAAAATTTCTTAGCAATGGGGTAAAAGTATAACTGATGGAAAATGTTTATCAACGAAACAGAAATGCTATTCCTCTCCATTACTAAAAACCATACAGGAATCTGATTCATAAATTTACAAATATTATTCCTGAAGTCTAATAAACTAAAGAATAGATTTAGCTATTTCAGCTATTTGTCAACTTCCTAAATACTTTTCCATTTTAAATTATCTAAAAATTAGCAATAATAATTAAACTTCTAAAAACGCAACATAATATAATTTTTGTTAAAAAAATTAAATATTTAAAAACACCTACCTGTTCTTCCCTTTTTTGTTTTCGAAGCTGTATTCCTTCCTCTTCTCTTCGTCTACGCATCTCTTGAGGATTTAGGGCTTTATTCTTATAACTTTTCATTCTATAGTTATCTTTCCCTGGACTAGCCATGGCATCTTAAGAGAAGAGAACAGACACTGATGATTCTCAAAACAACACAAGATGCTTACTCTAGGGCAATTAAATTAAAGGTCACTGATTAAATAGAGCAACAAGACCTATTCTGTAAGTTACATACAAAGAATACATTCCCTCATTCCCATGTTAAGATTGGAGCAAAATGACCAAATATCTTAGGAATAACATATTAAACAAATTAACAGATTTTGATCTAAACACAAAATCATTACCCTTATTTCACTGATTTTGGTTTTAAACATGTTAAATTTATAGTACTTAGGGCACATATGAGAGGCTTTGATCTATAGATGGTTAAAAATATGAGTCAGAACTCAGTCCTGACTGATCATCCAATATCATGTAGAGCTATAAAAGAAAGATGACCAAAGGAGAAACCTTGAGGATATTCACATTTTAGTGGAAAATGCAAGAGTAGGGAAACCAAAAAGAAATAAGTCAGAGAAGTAGGAGAATCAAAAGAAAATAAGTCCTATAAGAGAAGGGAGTTCAAGAAATAGAGGAATATTTAAGTCGTAGTAGCACTAAAAACTGGCCAATTTATCCATTCATTGATTCATCAAACAAATAAGGGGCTGCAATAAGCCAAGTACCATACCAGGCATTGGATTTGGTAATCAGGTCACTGGTAAAGATAGTGAGACAAATCTCACTAGTGGTAGAGCTAAAGATAGAATGGCATGGGCTGAGGACTTGGAAATGATTTAAAAAGTACTTCGTGCCTTTGAACTAAACACGTTATATTCTGGCAATCAAAATGCATTTATAATTGACCAAAATCCCTCTTTAAAATATTTAATGGATTTTCACAGTACTGTGTGCACCTACAAATAGTAATCATTAGAAACTGCTCAATCTTGTTAATAATAATCATGTTTAGCATTATTCTTTATTTTATATATATATAAAAAATCTATCGTATTACTAACAGCTTAGGCTCTTGGAAGAAAAAATAAAGATCAGAGTTCATTACTCAATATTAATTGTTGTATTATACTCAGTAAGTATAAAATATCTTATCAAAATGAAATTTCACGAAAATAAACCTCTTAAAATATTTATCACCTATATATGCAGCATTTTCTAGGCCAGTGGCCTCTAAACTTTTTTGATCATGCATGTAAAACGTATTTGTGCATCCATTCTCAATATATTTATTTCTATATATGTATTACTACCTTAATGTACTATCCAATTAAAAAGTTCACAAAACAAAAAAAAAAAAATTAAAAAGAATAGTTTTTAAAGGTAAACAAATACAAGTTCTAATAATTTCTTCCCACATCTGATTAGATCACCTTGTGTCCCACTCTCCCACCATACACACAAAACACACCGCAGACACTACTTCTGAGACCATTAATCTAGGCAACCACTTTTCAATATAAACTTGTTAACCAAATAAAATGTAGCCCCAACAACTCATATATCATTTGTTCCTTTTTTTTCTTTAATACTAACTTCCTGCTTCTTATTTAACACCTGCATCCTCACTGCAGTTGCTTTAAAGGATATGTTAAGGCTAAAGAAAATAATCTCCGAAGATGCCTCATCCAATCACTGGAAAATAAATTCAAAGACTCTACTTCGAAGGCTGGAGTCTCATACAAATTATTTTAAATTTAAGAATTGTATTCACATACTTTAAAGCTGCCAAACAGACGAATTTTTTTTTTTTCATTCATTAAGTATATTTTTTACCCAGCTCTCAGAAAAACTGTGTTGAAGTTGGGAAAAGAACTTGAATCTGAACTTAGGGTTTTCTTTTTCTAATATCTATTATCGGAATTTCTCATGCCAGTCAAGCCGTCACTGCCATGGGTTTGGGTGCCTCATTAGTAACATTACAACACTGTAAAAAAGGGGGAAGGTGCCAACTGGAGTCCCTATAACCTACCAGGATCTGAAGGACAGAGCTGTTCTGCATAGCTTAACAAAAAAGTCACTTTCCTACAAAATGAGTCATTATTGAAAGTTGTAATTCGGAGATTAAGTTAGAAGTCTTTTCTTTTATTTAATGTGCCAAAAAGTTCATGAGTAAATGCCAGTGTCATATTCTTTTGACGTATCACTACGCTGTTTCACAGCTTTCAAATCTATTCACCTCTCATGCATTATCGATGAAACACTATTAAGTCTGCATCTTGGAACGGAGCAGACAAACTATGCAACCGTCGGGACTGAGCACTTGGAGGCACCTGCATCAGCGGCGGTGGCAATATAGGGTACTGCAAGCAGGCCCCGGGGACAGAATCTGCCTCTTCTCTGGGCACTGTGGAATTTCCATAAGCTGCAGGATACAGACAGCCACTGCGTACCAGGAGTGAGTGGCAACGTTTACCAAGACCATGTACCGAGAAGAACCGCCAAGAAACGGTGAGGCAGAGCGGCGAGAAGATGAGATCGGCTGCCCAAAGCTCCTTCCGAGGACCAGCCTGCCTGGCTGAGCGGAATCTGGACTCACCGCGCCATCGCGTCTGCAAGGGAAAGGTGCGGCTGCCACGCCCCCGCGACCAACGTCGCCCTCAGGAAAACCTGAGAAACCACCCTGGCAAGGCCAGGTCCTGAACCCTTCGTGAGGAAGGGGATAAATAAAAAGCGGCCCCAGTAACTAGAAGCGTTCAAAGGGACCGGACCGAGGATCCTCCAACCTGGCCTGTGTCACTCTCACTTACCCATTAATGTGGTACCCTCCGTGCTCTGACTTCCCAGTCCCCGGCGGAGACGTCTACTGCGAGTAACAGAGGAGCAGCCACTCCGCCCCTAGAGTGGAGCCTACCGAGCCGGCTCGCAGCCCAAGATGGCGGCCACCTGCGCCCCTTCCCCGAGACCCCGAACTCGGCTCCCAGAAGCCCTTGCACGCGGCGGCGGCGGCGGCGGCGGCGGAGGAGGAGGAGGAGGCGGGGCCGGGGCCGGGGCCGCACCGACCCGCAGAGCGGCGGAGAGAAGTGCTTACCCCTGTGCTCAGCAGGAGGAGCCAGTGCCTGGATTTTAGCCGCGCGCACGCTGTGGCAAACGTGTGCGCTATTGTCCCTGGTTCTCCTCGTGCCCAGAGTCGAGCTCTCATTCACTCGTTCATCTATGCATTCATCCTACAACCTAATAGTGATTAGGGTCTAATCTGGGCTGGGTACCGTTTTAGATATTGGGAGTGCAAAGGTGAAAGAAACCGGTAAAAATCCCAGACTCGTGGAGTTTACAAAGAAACTCTCGCCTTCTTCAGATTCATTAACTTCTTCCTATATGCTCTGCTCGTTTGTTTCAAGCCTTTTAATTTGGCATTTATTTGTAACTTTGGATTCTATAACATCTGTGGATTTGTGATAAAAAATGTAGTCGCTGATACATGAAATGAAAAACTCCAGATAAAGTATTCTAAATTATTATAACACATACACGCACACACACGCAGCCCTGTAATCCACCGTGGAGTTCAATACACTATTAAAAACAGATGCAATGCCAGGCACAGAATATACAAGATAACACATGATTCCTGAAATGATATCACCGTGTTGTCAAACGCTCCAGCTAAATAACTTAGGAATCATTCTTTATTTTTCCCTTAACAATCTCTTCTGTCTTTTGATTCTACCTCCAAAATAGCCCTTATCTATTCCTAGTTTATCGTTACTGACACCTTCTCGAACATTCCATTATCTCTTTCATAAACTGCAGTCATGTCCTAACTGAGCAATCTGTACTCACCTCAACTCCTTTATAATCTATTCCCTACCCAAAAGGCAGAGTGCAGCAACTTAAAATTAAATTTTTATTTATTTTAATCAAATAATAAAAGTAAAAAGTTTTAAAAGTCCAGTGATATTACAAAGTGTGTCAAGAAAATTAACACTTCCCTCCCCGACTTTCTCCAATTGCCACTACCCAGGAGCTACCATTTTCAACTTGTTTAGCTATTTCTTATTGGTATTTCATCTATATTTCTTAGTCATATGCTATTTCTTAATTTTAAAAAATCTTAGACATTATCTATTAACCTTTTTTACAAAATGAATACTTATCACTCTTTCAACCACAACAGACTCCCAATACACACACAAACACACACACACACACACACTCATACACATACCTCCTCATCTCACATCTTATTTAGTTAGTTCTATTAAAATTATTTTGGTTAAATCAATATTTAATTTTTATGTAAATAGTGTTATACAAATAGTGATCAGAGCTGCACCTCATGGTATAATTATATTTTCTTATACAGCTTTTTTATTATTCTTAAGTTAATAATTGCTTGTTTTCTACCATCATTTGTTCAGTTTTCTACATGCTCATTACTAATTGATCTTCAAACACACTGCTAGAGGTGTATATTAGTTTCCTATTGCTGCAGTACAAATTACCACAAACTTACTGACTTAAATCAATACAAATTTATTATCTCAAAGTTTTACAGGGCAGAAGTCCAAAACAGATCTTACTGAGCTAAAATCAAGGTGTCAACAGAGCCGTGTTCCTTCTGGAGGCTCTAGGGGATAATCCATTTCCTTGCCTTTCCCAGTTCCTAGAAGCATTCCTTGGCTTGTGGACCCTTCCAGCAATCTCATCACTATGACCTCTACTTCTGTTGTCACATCTCCTTCTCTGATGCTGACCTCTTCTAAGGACTCTAGTTATTACATTTCAACCACGAGTATAATCTTCCCATCTCAAGATGCTTAACTTAATCATATCTGCAAATTCCCTTCTACCATGTAAAGTAACATATTCACAGCTTCTGGGAATTAGAACATGGATATCTTTGAAGACTACTACTATGCTTACCAGGGTATATTTCTCTCAGTATGTTCATAAACATGGGGTGGTCTGTCAGTTGCTTTTTCCCTCCCTCCTTTATTTCCTTCGCTCCCTCCCTCCCTCTTTCTCTCTCTTTTTTTTTTCTTTTTCTTTCTTGCCTCCCTCACTTCGGCAGAGCTTCTTGTTGAATTCCATATCTTCCACTTTCTTTGCTTCTTCCCTCATTTTGGTAGGAGCTTCCTGAGGAAAAAGTGGATGAGAAGTAATGTTTTGGAAAAATTATCTTCAATTTCATTTCTTTGATAATTAATTTTCCACTGCTTTTTCCCCATTTTTCCTTTCTGTATGTCTTATTAGTTGAATGTGGAACCCAATTTATTATATGATTTTTCTTTCTCTCCCTTGTTCTTTTTGTTCTCTTTTCCGAGATATTTCTTGGGATTTATCTTACAGATCTCTATTGATATATATTTTTTAAATCTGTGGTTGCATTTTTTAACCCCAAGACCTATATCTTATTTTTGATAAAGAGATTAAATACATTTTCTTATGTTTCTCAGGGTATTAATTGTGGTTTCCATTTATTTTTTTTTTCTCCTCCCTTCTTTGTCTGAGTTTCTTCAGAGTTCACTTTAAAAAAACAAACAAACAAACATGTTTTAGTTTCTATCTTACATGCCATAGGTTATACTCAAGTGCCTGGTGATCCTTGAGTATCCACTCATATTTAAGAATAAAACACTGTAGAAACCTATTGCAAGCTGTGTATGAGTGGGTCTTGGTTACTCACCAATTGGGGGCCTCCCTACAGAGTGATAAAATGGAGACCTGGATGTTTCATTGGAGAAATTCCTAAAGGTCAGTATCTATAGGTCTTTCCTCCTGAGACAATCGATTTCCCTGGGGAGGAATTTTCCAATCTCTTTTCTTAAAGGCACAAATCAGACATCAGTATGTGATGGGGGAAAAGGACTAGGGAGTTCATAATTCACTATTTACCTATACTTCTCCCCCATTTTCAGTCCAGCACCTTGACCCCACCCTTAGCTGTACATTTCTGAGCTCTTAGCCTCTCTGATTCATTTTCCTCATGAGATAAACTTGTAGCCTTCTGTTTGGGAGGAAAAGATGTCACTTGACAATCGTGATATAGGAAACCTGGAGGTGGGGTTCTAATGCTTCTTATTCAGAATTTTAGCAAAATGTTCCTTTTTTCAGTCCCAAATTTTAGCATCTCTTTCAGAAGTATCTGGTCTTTAATTTCTGTACATTTCCAGATTTCTGGGGATATGAATTGACTTTTTTGTTGACTTACCTTCTTAGCTAAGTTAGTTGCTACTAATCCATCCTTTTTCTAGACTTCAAAGTTTTGTAAAACTGTTTACTTTTATTATGATATTTATTCTTCTACTGTCGTTTTAGTAAACATTGAGAGGTAAAGGAATATAAATGTACATGTTCAATCTACCATGTTTAACCACAAACCCCCAGAAAATTTTTAAAAATCTACTGCTCATTACCAAATGATTTCACCCTTCTATTTAAATACCCTAGTAGCTTTCTACAAGGCCCTACATGATTTGCCCCCTATCTACAACTCTGCTCTTATAATCACTCTCACCCTTAACACACTATACTCTGGTCACGGTGTTCTTTTTGCCCCAGTCTTAGGCCTTTGTTCTTGTTATTTTTATCTGCCTGAAATGTTCTTCCCCTGTTGGTGCAAGGTTTGTTCACTAGCACACTTAGATCCTCAGAGAGACCTTGTCTAGCATTAGTGTCTCTATAACTCAGTTTTATTTTGTTCATAGCACTTATCATGATCAGTTTATTTACTTATTTTCTCTGCCTCACCAGAATGTAAGCTTCAAATGTCCTGGATTTTGTGTATTTTTATTACTGCTACAGCTCCTGTCCCGAGCAGACTGCCTTTCTTATAGGCACTTGTAAATATTTGTTAAGTGAAATAAGGACTGAACGACAAAAATAAGATACTTGTGATCCTGAAACCTTGAGGAAAGAACCTGTCTTAGTTATCCTCCATTTGACACCTAGCAGCATTATAAACTCTTTATTGATACTAAAAAAAGTGCTACTCAGCCAGGACCTAGACAATGAATAATGTAGACTCGTGTTTGCCCTAAGGCCAGCCCTATAAATTCACTCAGAGTCTTAAAGACCCGAGAGCCTAGCTTATCTCCTAACAAATCAGGAGTAGGAACCCTGACAGGAGAGTGAAAAGGAAAATGACTTACAACTCCCAGAAAGCATTGCGACCCGGACCGGCGTGGAGCGGGGCATGCTGGGATTACTTCCCTTCCGGAGAAATGAGGAAGTGCTTTTTTGAATGCGAAACTCGGGACTAAAGTTTCCTGCGGTCCCTGATTCTTCTCTGGGTTAACTGTGAATCTCCGGGTATGGGAGGGCCTGGCCCCAGTCTTTCAAGCCGGGAGAGATATTAGGCGCCGCGCACGCACTCCTCTGCCGGCAGGGCTCGAAGAGAAGCCGAGCGGAGCGCGGATCTCCGTGCCGGTGAGAACTGACGGCCCCAGACCTCACTCCCCAGGCCCATGAAGCTCTTACCCAGTTAGGGTCTGCTCTGGTTACGTGTTCTGGCTCGGGATGTTGGAGGGAACTTTGGGCACACTCGGCCTGGCGGCGTTCTGTCCCTTACCGCTTCCTTCACCAATGATCTAGTCCGGCACCTGCCACGGGCCTTCTTATATACAGTATACGTCCAAGTGTGTCCTCCGGTATCTAGCCGTGTCAGCCACCGGAAGAGAAGAAACTCGGTGTGACGACGTTCTTCCCACTAGGCACGCGGGCGCGCGGGAGAGGTGTGGGGTGTGTCGGGAGAACTTCCTTATTAAATCAGAGACTGTTTTCACTTGTCTGGAGAGAAATGAGAAAAAGGAGGACAATGTAGGGAGGTCTCGTAAAGCAAAATTTATCTAAATGAAGGGAATAGTGTCCTTATTTTTTTTCTTTTTCTGCTTGCTTTTAAATAGTCTTTAGCTGAAAGATGGTCTGTGGTAGAAAGGTGATGATGGTGATTGCTTTTTAAAATTATTTCTTAACATCACCTTTATGTCGGTAGCCAGTACCTTATTAGTTCATAAAGTTCAAGAGTGACTGCTGATCTAGTACAACTTATTTTACAGACCGAATCTCAAAGAAATGAGGTATTTTACCCAAAATGATTAAATCTGGATTATAATCCTATTTTCTTGACTCTGGAATGAGTGCCCTTTTCTGCCGTACCCACACTGCTTTATCCTTTGGACTGAGAGTACGTGCTGTGGAGCATGACTAGGTTGTGTGTTGGCTTCCACCGTTTTCTGGCAGTTGTGACTTCCTGAGCCAGAGTTTCCTTATGTGTAGAATAATAATAGTACTTAAATTAGTTTGATATATGTAAAGCTGTTTGTTTTTATTATTAAGATTTGTTTATTTACCCTCCCTATTATAATTATCTTTAAAATTCTATATTTAGATACATCATTTGATAAACAGGTTTCTTCTCTTTGTTTTCTCTTACCTAGCTTATCTAGACAACTTTTTAAACTTTATTTTTCCTCCACCTCGGACCAGACACACTATTTGAAATCTTGCGTTTTTAAAATTATTTATTTTCATTATTATTACCTTTGTTTTCTTGAAACCATAAATTCGAAGTATGTTAATGAAATTTTGATTGAGATTTATAAATAAGTTTGTTTATTTGAGGAACAGTAAATACATTGAAATTTCTTCATGAAAATAATCCAGCATTAAATACCAAATAACTGTCCCAGATCATTTTATGAAATGCATTTTTCTTCAGCTGTTTACTTTGAAATTTATTAAAATAATTTTTTTTTCCAGCTGTCTTACCATGCTTTCCTGTGATATTTGTGGTGAAACAGTAACCTCAGAACCAGACATGAAGGCTCACCTCCTAATTGTTCACATGGAAAATGAAGTTATATGTCCATTTTGCAAATTGTCAGGTGTGAATTATGAGGAAATGTGTTTTCATATTGAAACTGCTCATTTTGAGCAGAATGCACTAGAAAGAAACTTTGAGAGGATAAATACAGTACAGTATGGAACTTCAGATAACAAGAAGGACAACACCCTACAGTGTAAAAAGGAAGTTAACTCAGGTATTCATTCAGCTTGTGCCTCTAATCATCCAAAAAGTTCAGCTCAAAGCCTGCCTAAGGCTGGTACTTTAAAACATGAAGCCATTTGTTCAGAGAACTTAACGAAATCTGGAAAATTCCTGAAAAGTAGAGAAAAACGGCCTGGCCTAACAGAAATAAAAGGATCAATTTATGAAGCAATGTATAGTCCTCCTGAATGCCCATTCTGTGGAAAAATAGAGAAGTGTAGTCAAGATATGGAAACTCATGTGAAGACAAAGCATGCCAATATTTTAGACACTCCATTAGAAGGTAAAGTGTTCATTTTATTACGAATTATTATAAGTAACAGTAGTCTCAGTTTAATGTGTGGTATCCTAAAAGTTGGTTTGTAAATCAGATTACTACAGATGTGTTTTTAAATTCAGCTTATGTCTATAAAGTTTTTCACTTGCCATTATTGCAATATAAAAATACAATTATGGAAAACAATTTTGACGCAGATATAAAATGTTTCAGATACATCGAAAGTAGTTTTGGCACCTTTCTGTTTAATTTCCAGAGGGCGTTCTTTTATTTCCATGAGCTCAATGGGCATTTGGGCTGTCCTGGATTCAAACTTTGTGTTATTGAGTTCTAGTTTGACTCCAGTATAATCAAAGAACATGCTCTGTACTGTATCAGTTCTTTTAAATTTGTTGAGGCTCGTTTTACGGCTCAAGATATGGTCTATCTTGGTAAATATTCCATGGAAACTTGGGAGAAAGAAGTCTGTTCTGCATTGTTGGGAAAGTGTTCTGTAAATGTCAATTAGATCCTGTTCATGTTCAAATTATATATATCCTTATAGATTTCCTGTCTAGTACTGACTTAGTTCTACCAGTTTTTGAGAAGGGGTTGTTGAAATCCCTGATTACAATTGCAAATTTGTCTATTTTTGCTTTCCGCTTTGTCAGGTTTTGCTTTATGTACCTTGAGGCTCTGTTGCTGGTGTATATACATTTAGGATCTTAGGTCTTTTTCTTATTATTGAGTTTTAAAAGTTCTTTGTGTATTTCAGATACAAGTTCTTTGTCAGATATGTATTTTGAAGATGTTTTCTCCCAGTTTGTGGCTTGTCTTTTCATTCTCTGAACAGTGTCTTTCACAGGGTAGGAGTTTTTAGTTTTAATGAAGTGCTCCTTAAGTTCTTCTTTCATGGATCGAGCTTTTACTGTTGTATCTAAAAACTCATCACCAACTTCTAAAAGTTTTATATTTTTGCATTATACATTTAGATCTGTGATCCATTTGAATTAATTTTTGTACAAGGTATAAAGTCAGTGTTTAGATTTTTTAATGCATTTCCATGATAGTGAAATCAATATCTTTTTTGCAGTTATTTTAATTTCCTCTATTATGAAGCTCATGTTATATTTTTCGTATACTTTTCTACTTAGTTACAGGCATTTTCCAACTATCTTTATATTTTTCTTCATTTTTCTATTGAGTTGTTTGTCTTTTTCAGTTGCTTTCTAAATATATTCTCAGTACTAATCCTTGACTTCAGCTGTGTTACACAGGCTGTTGCTTATCTTAATTTTGTTCAGGATTTAAATTTTGTGTTTGCTTTCTATGTATTGTCAAAAAATATTCTTTACCCTAAGGTCATAAAAGTATTCTCAAATATTTTCTTCTAAAAATTTTAATGCTTTATGTTCTTTTTTTACATTTTTAAAAATTCCATCTGGATTTGTCTGTGTATATAACTATATGGGTCAATTTCTGGTCTTTTAGTGCTGCTTTACTTGTCTACTTAGCTGTTCTTTCCTCAGCACCACACTGTTTAAGTAACTATGCTTTTGTAACATGTTATCAATATCGGATAGGATATTTATTTCTTTGTTCTTTGTTTTTATCATTAACTTAGACATTCTCATTCTTTTATTTTTTGTTTGAGTTTTAGAACCATTTTGTCAAGTTCCATGAAAATTCTGTTAGAATTTTGTTTGAAATTAGATCAAAGAGCATCTCCACTTTAATTCATGTCATCCTTTGAATCCTTCAATAAAATTTTGTCTCTTTTTCACTGTGCATTTGTGTTAGCTTTATTCCTGTGTAGTTTATAGTTTCTACTGCTTTTGTAAATTAGATTTTTTTCTCTTATCTAATTAACTTTTGCAGGTTTATAGAAGCATTATCACAGTTAAGGTATGTAGTCTTGTTCAACTCTTACTAATTTTAATAGTTGTTCATTGATTCCTTTGAGTGTTCTAAGTCAATGATTTTATTATCTGCTAATAATGAAAACTTTATGGACTGCTGCAAGGACTCCCTGATGAGAAATGTCTGACACTGCTCTGCTGGCATACTGTTTCCTAGTAAGCTGCTGCCAAGTGTGGCTTATGACAGTCTTATGAGTCTGTAGTTGAATGAAAAAAGACCTGGTTGTCATTAGAGGGACAGAAGTGGACTAGGTAGATAGCTGGATTTAACCAATGTTTAGTTACAGTAAATGGAACCAAGGAGTTTGCAGGTGGTTAAAGGCATAATGATCATAGAAAGGATGCATGGAAACTAGGCTGAAAAGTAAAAAAAAAAAAAACAAAAAAAACAGAGCAGTAAAGAATGACAAAAAATTTAGGGCCTATATATATTTTATATAGGAAATTTTAATTAAGTCAAAGACTTTTTATAGTGGTGGAATTAAAAGAAATGAGGTAGAAGGATAGGTAGTTAGAAGAGGGGTGTTTGAAATTGAGATTTCAAGGGGGTTCAGTTATTGGTAATGACAAATCAAGGGTGTAATTTTATCATTCAGTGGCTAAATTAGGGTGAAGGAAAAAATTGTTGGAAGTGAAGGCAAGGAACCATACCTATGGATATTGAAGTTGCTAAGAATGATCACAGTAAAAGGGCTAGGAAAAGAAGATTTTGATCCAGGTGCTGAAATCTGTAAATAACAGGAAGTGTCCAGGATTTCAGAAAATATTAGCCACTAAGATGGGTGCTATATTCTGGTGACATGAACTAATAAATAGATAGGACTTTCAAAGAAGGAAGGGAGAAAACTGGTTTGAAAGTGATGAAAGGGAGCAAAGGGGACATCTTTTCTACTTATAGGGCCCTGAATTATGAAAGCAAAATTGCCTCTGTGTTAGGGGGCTATAGGGGAAATGGGGTCCTGTGGGTGAACCATATTTCAGTTAAGGCAAGAAGATGAAATGAATATTCAGAAAAAGATTGTGGATATAGAGAAGCTGGCTGATGATATACTATGGTTTCCAGAGGATATAGTAGTAGGCTTTGGGAAGATGAGGAATGGTGATAGCTTGGGTCCCATTAGTGGATGTATTCCAAATATTTATTTAAGTATTTAACAGTCTTAAAGACTGTTAAGACATGGTCAGTGACCAATTAGAATGGATTCATTGTCACAATGAATTCATTGTCCAACACAATGGTGTTGGTGATTACATCAGCCCTGGATGACTCCATTGGATGATGATGGATAAAGGCGTAGGCTCCTGGTGGTAGAAAAGGTACAGGGATATGAAAGGCAATGGTTTAATGTTGAGGAAGGTTGGTGATCAGTTCAAACTCTAGGGAATGGAGGTTTGCAGTAGTGTGGTGACCAAAGAGATGAACAAAGGTCTTCTCTAGGCATTGGTTCTGAGGCATCTTATGGTAGAGAACTGGCTGAAAGCCCTCTCTTATATCTTATGGAAGCCATATACTTTCATCTCTTTGTAATGTTTTTGGAAATATTTTCTCAGTACTTCTAAATATGTATTTAGAATTTTCATTGGAGTTTTGCCATTGAATTTTTTATTTCAATGATTATATAATTTATATTTAATATTTCTGTTTTTTTCCATTTCTGTTTTTGTTTTATTATTTTCTGTCCTGGTTTCAAAGATTCAGTTCCCTCCTTTATTTCAGTGAGGATTATTAAGTACTTATTTTACAATCCTTAATAGATAACCGTTAGCTCCATTTCTTCACAGGTAACTTCTTCAGTTTGTGGATTTCTGGATTGTTTTTCATGACATCTGACCTACCAATTTGCAATTCAAATTTTAGTATTCATCAGCTGGCCAGTTAGCTCAGTTGGTTAGTGCGCTGTATAATAACACCAAGGTCAAGGGTTTTGATCCCTGTACCAGCCATGTGCTAAAAATAAATAAATAAATAAATAAGATTTAAAAAAATTTTTTTTTAAATTTTTTAGTATTCATCTATTATAGGAGTTTTCTCTCATGTGATCTACTCCCAGAGAAGCAGTTTCATAGTTCCCTCACCCTGCTGTTTACAGTCTCTACTTTCAGAGACTTCCAGCTCTTTAATGTTCTGCTCCCAGATACGCAGTATGATCCCAATTCCCAGCTTTATGCTGGATGCTTGAGTTCAGCACCTCACTATTCAAAAACCCAGATCCAAACTGTCTCCTACTTACCACTTTGGTTTTACTTTCTACTTTCCTTGTTTTCACTACAGATCTGAATGTTTATTATTAATATTATTAATATTATGTTTAGTATTCTCTCTCTTTTTTGGAGTGGTAAAAAAGGTTTTTGTGCTATGCTTGGTCTTTCATCTTGACCCTAGAAGTAGAAAAATAGCTTTTAAATCCAACTACAAAGAATTTTATGTATGTAGTAAAGTTAGGAGGTGGTAGACATTCTTTGACATGTAGTGAAAATCTAAACGTTTTAAAAATAAATCCAACTTAATTATGTCTTTAATATAGACTGTGATCAACCACTTTATGACTGCCCTATGTGTGGGCTCATCTGTACAAATTACCATATTCTCCAAGAGCATGTTGTCTTGCATTTAGAAGAAAACAGCCTTCGACAAGGTATGTTTATATGTTTAAAGATAAAAATATCATAATTTAAGTCCTTAGGGAACATACCTAATTTTTACATTAGTGATATAGAGAAAAAATAATACTATCTAGAAAAAAATAATACTATCAAAAAAAAAAATCTGTTCCTGTAAAGAATTCTTATCTAGCTGTAACTTCTTCTGTAGAAGTTGTTTCACCAAAAAGTTGTAAGGGATGAACTGTTGTGACCCCCATCCAAACTAGGGCTGTACATCCTGGATTTTGCCCCAGAACATCAATATTTAGAGGGTATAAACATTTAAGATAATGATCTTTAAATATAATGCAATTTTTAAAATATTTTATTTAGAAGTTGAGGCCATTCCTTCAGCACTTAGAAGTAACTGAATTTAGCACTTGGTCAGCAAAAATGGTTGAACAAGGAAGCTGCTATGTGGCATATATAATTTTAAAAATGAGTGTGAGCTAAAAGTCTTCCAGTGCATTTCCACCTGCTTACCTCAGCTTCTAAAATTACTTACTGGTTTTATAGTGACTACATAAAAGTTTTCCTCTGTTCCCTATCTTTTTTAATATTGGTATTAAGTAATTATGATACCTTAGAAGTGGAAAAATCCTATGTGAGTTTCACAAACCCACTGAAAGAAAATATAAAGTATACCCTAAGAAAAACCAATTGTGTTCTACTCTATTTCAGTTCCTTAAAGTACATGGATAACTCATTAATGCAGGGGTCTTGAGTGTCTAGTACCAAGTGATCCTAGTACTGCTATCAATGATCTCCATGTATAGCATTACTTGCTCACTCAGCCCAACCCCAAGATGAGAATTATTGGAGCAAAGATGGAATAGTCCTCTACTCTAGTGGTTGTCTATTAACTACTCAAGCTAGTATGCTATCTTCCTTTAGACAAGATTGCAAGGGAATACTGTGGAAGGATAATCTTTTAGAAGCTGAATTTCTGATAATTTTTATTCTGTTTGCAATAGGCTTTGTATGGTTACATATATTATTCTGTAAGCCTCTAGTGGGTAATGAGAGAAAGACATGGTCTGAGTAAGTCGCTGTAGATAGCATCAGGGTACACAAAAAGTCAGTTGTGAATTGCATTCAACAAGAATAGAAGGGGGGACTCATTAGGAAGATGTAGCAGTGGCTGAGAGGTTTGAAAGGAAAGGAAGAATATTCAATTACCTAATTAAGCCATTAGGTTGGGGGTTCAAGGAGACAGGATACTGGCTAGAAGTCACTGACCAATGGATCTGGCGGACACTGGGTAGAGAGGAAGCAGGGTGAGATGTTGCAAAGTTACACCATTTGCGTGGGGCCAAACTGTAATTAAATTTCTCTCCAGCACCTTTGTGTATATTTTTGTGCTTTTTATTATTTCCTTCCCACCCCTAGTATTTCTTGGAAAAATCAATCTTAGTTGTGTTAGGGAGCATCAATGAAGGGTGTTACCTAATATCTTTAAATTCTAGTTTCCTCAGTAGATAATAATACCTACTTCATAAAGTTGTCATGAATATCAAATGAGATAATGAAAAGTGTTACAACTTAAACACTCAGTGAATTTTATTTGTTATTTAAATGGAGTTTATCCCCTTACAGAAGCAGTTCTAAATTCTGCTAGATTTGTACTCAATGGTTCCATGATATCAAAGTCATGAATAAATGGCAAATATGGTATTTACTTTGTTAATAAAATATGTATTAACTAAAAGGTAAGCTTTGATGGCAGCAGTTATTTTATTCTGAACATTAAAAATATCTAATAGGCATGGATAGTGTCCAGTGTTCTAGTGATTTAGAATTGGCTCACCAGCTTCAACAAGAAGAAGACAGAAAGAGGAGATCTGAAGAATCAAGACAAGAGATAGAGGAATTTCGGAAGCTGCAGGTACAAAATTAATAATATTTATAATCTTTTGATTTGGTAGGGTTCTTTTTCAAATATGTTTTCAAGACTTCAGCCTATTATTTTTGCCTTTGTTATTATTAATATATATACATATATATATATATTTTATAGTTCATAACAGCCACCATTATAAGTCCTCGTTCTGGTCAGGTACTGGGGTAATCACTTCATACACAGTATTTCAAAATCTTCATAACAAATCCAGGATGAAATTATTTTAGCTTCCCCCCCCCCCCCCCCCCCCCCCCCCCCCCCCCCCCT